TTGTAAGGACGATTTTAACACGTAAGTTGATATAACTGCGCTAAGTAGACATTAGATAAGACAAAAATATGCAATAGGAAGTATTTTAATTACAATTTGAAAGAAGAAAAAAAAAACTATTCGTTTAAAATAAGTAGAAAGACAAGGCACTCAAAACTAAAGCACCTTCAAGAAAAAGACAAGTATTTAAATTCTTTTTTAATCCTTATTTCCTTGGTTGTAACTACTAATGATGTCTCTACTTTAAATATGAAAGAAAAAATGAATGGTTATAATTCATAACTGTAATCACAGAGAGTGAGAAACGTCATAATGGGGAGAAAAAAATTAATCTAGCGCTGAAGGATCACATCTCATATAGTGTCAGTTTTTCGAAGAAAAAAAGTGCAAGTGCTAGATGTGAGGGATGCGGATGACGATATGAGCCGGCGAGAGCAGGTGCAATAAGCAGTGAAGCAACCGCCGTTCCCAAGAGAAAAACTTCGGCAGGAAGTCGCCTGTGTGCATCGGTATGTGACCTCCCTCCTCCTTTCTACTATCTCCTCACATTATCTATGGTAACGCCATCTATCCGATAAAAAAGAAACGATTTTGAATGGGACCTTTTAATTAAGATGCAAAGCGCGACTGATTGATTTGACTGAGCATCATTATATCAACTTAATTAAATTCAAATGCCGTATTAATGAGTTAAAAATCACAGGCTTATTCAGTGAAATTTAACGTTTTCTTATGCAATATTGCTATTATAGGCGTTCGTTTTTGTGTGATAATTTAGGAAGAAAAAAAATGTTTCTGTTTACGAGTTGGAGCAATTTTAAAAGCATTCTTGTTTAAAACTTTAAATCCCTTTTTATGAAATTTTTTTTTTTATGATTTACGTAAACTGATGATTATAATGAGTTTACGAAAACTTATAAGACTTTCTAAACTGATTGTAGAATTAACGAAATGAAAAAATTTGCACGCAAAATATAAATATTTCAAAATAGCACCATCCGCATATCTTTTTGTTCTTACATTAACACAATGATTAGTGCTAGTGTTATTAATAGTTTCAATTAAAACCCCTTATTACGTTTTTCTATAGTAGTATGTTCAGTGACATTTTAGTAAATTGAGAAAATCATTTTAAAAAAATGTGCAGAAACATCAAGACGCGGTCTATAGTAATTTAAAATCGTCATATTACTTTGACAAAATAAATTTAGATTCTATTGAGCTGGCCGTATGAACTTTAACCATTGTAAGTATTTTTTCTTCTTCTTCAGAATGTTCTTTAACACGTTCTTCTACTAAGCTCTTTAACTTTATATATCTGAAGTTATAAGCAAATGCCCTGTTTGGCCGTACAATGTAGGAAAAATAAGTATTTATTAGCATACACACTAGCGCATAATTAATTGAAAATCATTTCCAATTATTGGCTTCGATAGTTATTTCTGAAATCCTTTAACAGTGTTTTTCCAAGCTATTTTGCCAATGAAATTAAAAGAGCCACAATTTAAGGGACTTACACTTGAGAAAAATCTGTAATTCTAAACTATATATAACATCTTCCCGTAAAGAATTATCTCGGCTTAAGAACGACTTAATATTAAACGGTATTAAGCCGTTTAATATTAAGAAAGGCTTACTATTTATATTATACTCGACTTAATATTTAAAAAAAATATTAAGCTTTTTTAAAAATCGCTCATTTGGCGACATTTTCCCACCTCGAGGAAAATTTTCCTTATGAATAAGTAATTCTCCCTTTTTGTAAATTTTAATAAGCCCATGTAATGCAACGTTGGAGTAAATTTTCTAATACTAAAATGTTACACCGTAAACGCTTTTCATTATCACAAAACTGTGGCTTTTCGGACGTTTTGCACCATTTTCAGAATTAGCAAATAGCGCACCGGTTAAAGGTAAGGTAAATTTGAGACAGGTTAAGTCATGAATAATTGTTGTGAACTTACAGCCTATGAAAATAGCCTATTATTCGCAAAAAAAGCTATTTTCTGTGACGACAGAACTTTTGACGAGTTCCTCTCCTCTAAGGAATTCTGAGCAAGGGCCATGTTTGGACAAAAAATGTGAAAATGCCTATAATAATCGATTTTTGCTATAGATATATAAGTAAAACCAAAAACCACTAACAATCATTGAACTTTTTCTTAATAGAACAACATAACCTTCTATGGCAATTGATTATTTTGCAACAAAATCATTAGCAAATTCACATTATATGTTTGTTCCTTTGTAACAATCAACAGAAATAGAAAATAGCGTGCCCACTTGTGCAAATCCTTTCTAAATGTTACGTGCCATATTACAAATGTAACGACATAAATGTCAACAGAGCATGCGAAAGCAGGGTGGGCCATGTTCACAATAGTTATAAAAGAACAGTTATTCTTGAACGTTGATGGAATATTTATTTTACGCCTTTCCGCTTTATTTTTCAGATTTATAATTTTTTTTCTTCCGGTTCTAAATTAAAGCGGAAATTTAATATATTTTAGCAACAAAAGATTCTCATGTTCTAGTGTCCGATTTCTTCGCTTTGTGAAATATGTGGCTATTTTAAATGCCTGCTAAGCAGATGTTTCCGTAATAGCTCGGACAGATGTTTTCATTTGTTTGTGGTTCTTTAAACACAAGTTATCTTCTCAATACTCTGTTTTTTTTTTAATTCCTTAGTTCTTTTTTGCAAATAATATTACAATATCTTTAAAGTTCCATCTATATTATCCAATTAAACTATCGTTTTCCCATATCATGATACAGCGGTTCTAAAGTTTTATGGTTTTGAGCTTTCATATATCACTTGTATTAAACGTACTTTTTTTTTTTAAATTTATTTTTTATGTCCCGTTGACACGTATACCCCGAGAAATAACATACGTGTGCGTACCATATTTTTGGCACACATACCATACTTTGGATACGCGTACCATATTTTAAGCAACACTACCATAAATGCATTGATAGTGTCTACGTGTTAAAGGCAAGGTAAAATAAAGAAATTTAGATTTTGTTTATTTGTATTTTGTTCCTCTATTGATTTAGATTCTATTTTAAAGGTGATATATATCCAATATATTAATTCAATCAACGCTTATCTCTTTTAGAGAACTAAATTTTTTTTTGCATTTTATGCAAAAATAAATCCAAATTGATGCATTCTTTAAAATTTTCCAAACTTATTGAGAATTTTAGGTAGTTAATAGTTTAGATAATAGTACACTTAAAAATTCATTTTGTTGCTTGTAAATTATTTTCAATTAATTTTTTTGTATATGATATGTTATAAATTTTGTATACTTGGATTGATATTTTTAAATTCGTTACTTATGTACTCGTATACTACTAGCTTACTTATGATTTTTGAAAACTAATTTGATATTTTTACTTGCCTTTTCTTTTTTTTAATCTCAAATTAAGATTGTTTTTAATTAAATAATTGAACTTTCAGTTGGAAATGGAAGACTAAACTTTTTTCTAAACCTTTTATTCTTCATCTAATTATCATTTCTCGCCCTTGCTTTAACTTCATACTTAAAGGTTTTTTTTTTTTTTCAATTAAATAACTAAACTTAAAATATGTTATGATTAACTAATATCTTTGATAAATCTTTTTATTCTTTATCTTATTATCATTACTTGCCATTGCTATTTCAGCTTAAAGATATAAATATAAGTTAGATATAAGTTAATATAAGTTAAATTATCGAACTTTTAATTGAAAATGGCAACTAAATTTTTAAAATATGAACTTGTGAACCATATGGCAATATACATTAATATTGGCCAGATGGGTGAGCAAGGGGCGTTCGTGACACCCAATAATAGTCGTCATTGCACCCTACTATTCCTGGGCACCTAACTTCACGTAACAATGGCGTCTCCTAGCGGTTTTCCCGCGCTCTCAACCGGAACTATCGATGTCGCTATTGTTAGCGGTTACGGTTTCGATGACTTTTCTTAGCCAGATTGGGCGTAAAAAAATTATTTTAATACATGATCCCGCTTATGGTACTGTGTTTCTTTTCTATGAATGTTCAAGCACCTGTTCTTGGTACCACTTGTGGATGGGGGCAAAATTAACTTCTCTCTTTGCTGAAGTGTATATAATAAACAGAAGGATAACTTGTAAATGGGGTTTTGGTGTTATATATAATCCATTTTTCAAAGATCTGGGAAATTTAGAGGACTTTGTTTAGCTTCTTTGTCAAATCGGATTTAGGAGTGGGAATCTTGATGGAGAATGAATTAGAAATGATATATTTTTTTTGAGGGAGAGGGTGTTTCAACAGGTGTCATTTCAATCATTCTAAATTTTAAAAAATAATTTTTTACCGATGCCCGAACTTTCAACTTCTATACCCCATCTGTTATATTACATTCAACGATAGGTTTCCTTTAAAACTGTAATTATGTTTGAAATTTTTTTTTATTAGAAAAAAAGAAGAAAAAGAAGAAATAAATTTAAATTATAAATAAATAAATATAGACAAAAATGAATGTAATGTAGTACTAATATTTTTCGTGTTTTATGTTTATTTCTAATGCAGTGTATTTATATGTTAAGTTTTATTATTTATAACCTTTTTAATAAATTATTTCATGGTATGTTGTTTGTTAAAAACACTTAAAAAAATTTTTTTAAATTCTTATTGCGATAAAAAATTCTATCAATTTTTATTATGTGACCAAATAGTCCTAATTCCCAGTGCCTGATTGGACGGATTCACTTTTAAAAATAAGTTCAATTAATTTTTATCATTTAGACTTTTTTTTGTGACTGATTGAAGCATTTATATAGAAAATTGATATAATTTTTAAAACAAATTGTAAAGTTAATTAAAAAAATATTTCTGTGCGCAATATATTCTTAACTAAATCCTACTTAAATTTATATGGTGTTTACCTTTTATATGTAACATAATGCATTTGAATATATTATAAAAGTGAGTTAGTCTGTAAATTATATATATATTTTTAATTTGCAGTTGTTCACCATTCCATGTTGGACAGTATTGTCAGCATTTGAACCCCTGCCACACTGGACCTGGACCTCGATGTCAAAACGGTGGTACCTGCAAAGTCGGATTGTCGCCTAAAAATGTGCCAACCTTCTCTTGTGTATGCCCAATTGGTTATTCGGCCTCACTCTGTGAAATAGCTGTTCCCAACAGTTGTGACAGCAATCCATGTCACAATGGAGGAATTTGCAACCTACACCAACTCGATAACTACACTTGTACCTGCGCTGTTGGATACAGAGGTAAGATTACAATTATCTTACCTGTTTTTTTTCTTCTTTTTTTCTTCCTATTTTCATAATGTTACAAAGACTCTTTTTTTCTTCCATATCTTCTTTCTTGCTATTTTTTTAAAAATTACATTAGATAGATTATCTAATGTTTTGTTGTAAAGTTGATTTTAAATAAATTTTCGATCAATTATAAGGCAGGTAAATAAAAGAAAGCCTATTTTTCTCAGCAATGGTCGGTACTTACACTTGTTCCAAAACTATTTATTATTATAAGTTAATGTTTTTTTTTTTATTTAAAAACAATTATTGTTTTCCGAATACTTATCCTGTCTTTTTCTTTCTTTGTCTATTTTATACCACCAATCATTCATTAATTTTGTTTAGAAAAATAATTATCGTTTGCAAAAATATTTTTCTTGATTTCATTCTAGAAAATCGTATGCAAAAATATCGTTTTTCTTACTTAAAAAAAAACAAACAATTATTATCGTTATTTCCGTTACAAAAATAACTCGTTTCATCATCAAGATCGGTGAATGCGATTCTTTTTGGAATGGTTGTTTTTAATCGTTATTTACGAATGAAACACGTGCACAAAAGTATTTGTTAATATAAAATTTCTGTTTGACATTGCACTTTTTTCTCTATGTTATTGAACTGTTATTCATGATAATCGTCCTTGTTACTTCCAGGGCATCATTGCGAAGAAGTCGATCATTGCTCATCTCGACCATGCCGCAATGGCGCTACTTGCCTATCCAAACAAGACAACTACAAATGTACGTGTGCTGAAGGATTCACTGGTAACACCTGTACAAATGATATTGACGAATGCGTTAAAGAACCTTGCATGCATGGCAATTGCGTGAATACTGTCGGTTCTTATAGGTAAATATTGTAACGATCATTTAACATTTAGTTAAATCAACAATTTTTAAAAACTAAATTGGTATTTTTAATGATTAGATGTACCTGTGAAACTGGCTACACTGGACAGAATTGTGAATCTCAATATATCCCCTGTGAACCTAGTCCATGTGAAAATGGCGGAACGTGCAAGGCTATTGATTCTCTAAACTATCAGTGCTTTTGCCCCGAAGGTAAATAATTTACATTTTAATAGTACATCAATGATCATATTAAGGGAGATGAAATCAGTGTTGGTGGTAAATCCAGCTTTATGCTTGAACGAAATGTCTGCAAGATTCAAGGGTTTATCGCCGCCACTGGTTTAGGTTTTCATCTTCCATTTATTTTATAGTTATGCTAAATGAAATATTAATTTCAGGTTTTACTGGTACAAACTGTGAAGAAAACATAGATGATTGCCCCGGGAACATTTGTCAAAATCAAGCAAAATGCATTGATGGCATCAACAGTTATACTTGCCAGTGTCCTCCAACCTATACCGGTAAGTTCGAGCTGTTAAAATAGTTTACTGTTCGAATATTTAAATTTATAGTTCGAATACTTAAATTTAAAACGTAAATTTTTTTTAGGCTCTTACTGTAGTAAGGATGTGGATGAATGTTCTGTTCGTCCTAGCGTATGCAAAAACGGTGCAACTTGCTCGAATACTATTGGTGGTTATTCTTGCATTTGCGTCAATGGATGGTCCGGAGTGGATTGCAGTGAAAATATCGATGATTGTGCTGGTGCTGCTTGCTTCAACGGTGCAACATGTCATGACCGCGTAGGGTCTTTTTACTGCCAATGTGCTCCTGGTAAAACAGGTAAAAAATTTTTTTAGTAACTTAAATAGCTTACGATGTCCATATCTTCATACTATTTAATTTGATCTTATATGAAAGATGTTCTTGTATCTGATCCTACTAAATTATAAAACTGCATTCTAATGTGTGAATTTCTTTTCGATTTCAAGGTCTCCTATGCCATTTGGATGATGCATGTGCTAGCAATCCCTGTCATGTTGGGGCTATTTGTGATACCAGCCCTATTGATGGAACATACATATGCTCGTGCCCTAGTGGATTCAAAGGGGTAGACTGCACACAAGATGTTGACGAATGTGAAGAAGGTACATATCGGTGCAATTTTATATAAAAATTTACCTGAATATATATTATTAGTACATTTTATTTTCGCAAAATGGATCGCTAAAAATAATTGTACAAAATGAATCAGTGAGTTAATTAAATTACGCGTACCTGCTGTGCGATTGAAGAAGTAAGTTCGCTAAGCACTTATATTTTCTCCTCAGATGCACAGCAGTGCTGATACGAGTCAATAATTTAGATGAAGAACAACGAATTAGAAATAAGAAATTGAAGTAAAGTGGTTCGGATAAACCAATTAAAACTACCCTTTGGTATTGAAATTGCAATTTGAATCTTTTTTTTATTCCATGTTTTCCGTTTTTATTCTTAGGATCTCCTTGTGAGCATGGTGGAATTTGTGTCAACACTCCCGGATCATTTCATTGTGATTGCACGAAAGGTTTCACTGGACCAAGATGTGAAATCAACATCAATGAATGCGATTCAAATCCATGCAAAAATGAAGGAACATGTCTGGACGAGCGTGGAGGATTTCGATGCGTTTGCATGCCAGGTATACATTTACTTCCACTTTTTTTCTATTTTAAAGGTGATATATATCCAATNTTTTTTTTGTAAGACTTCAATTTAGTTTTAATTAATACCTGAATTGGAATGATTTACGGTTAAATATAGGGATCAACTTTTAGACAAACTTAAACAATAAAATTTTTTGCCAATGATAATTATTGTTCTTATGATAAATTTGCGCAGCCCAAGTATCGTAATTCACAAAAACGATATCGTAAAAACTTAGCTTTGAACATTGTACAATATCGTAGCGAAACACTGTACTATATAAAAATGGACCCCTTTTATAAAGTATATTCAATATCGCGAAACGATATTGTTCGATATTGTAAAAACATTGGGGAACGTCGATCGATATCTCTCAGCATTTCGGATGTCTCTAAATTTATATTTTAGATTTATTTTTTGGAATGATAACAATTTGACGTCATTTTTTGTCTTTTAAATGATTAATTTTGATTTAAGAACACAATAAAGTTTAAAATGGAAAGTTTTACAAACAGACTTTTAATGTGAAATCGACGGGAATCGTACAATATCGTACACACAATGTCGATTTTTGCCAATATTGACAATGGCGGTCGATGTAGACTAAAGCTGTTACAATATCCCTGTGCTTCTTGGGAGATGCTTCTATTTTATTATAAATGAATTTTAATATGTTTAAAGAAAGCGTTTGATTTATATTTGGTTTAAGAATAAACCGTAAAAATTTTTTTTGAAACTCTCTTTATTCCAAGAAATATATTTAAAAATAGTTTAAATATTCCTAGATTATCAATGGAAAAATTGGTAAGAACGAGAAATATTCATCAAAACTTTTATAAACAGGGGAAAAACCTTGTTAATTCCTTTTCATCTGTCTATTTTTTAAAAAAAATTATTTATAATTTTTATGACGAGGTAAAAAATAGCAAAATAAAAATTGAATTCTGGCATTTGATTATTTTTAAAGTTAATCTTTATTGTAACAAACTGAAAATTATACTGTAAGAAGCAAGTAAATTATCATGAATCATTTATAGATGTAAATGTTTCAATTATTTAATATCTAACTAAAAATTGTTTAAAGATACACATTATTAAATTCTATATAACAAGGAGAAAAAATCATAAATATTTACAAATCATTTTTTTTTCTTTATATTCCTGTTAAGCATTTTTATTTTTTATGCTTATAATTTTAGTGACGCAATTCAAAAAAAGCGCGTCGATTGAAAGTAGTCTAACGTAATAAATGCTATATTCAATCAAAGGAATTCTTTTAAAATAGGCCAAGTTCAACTTCTGGTTATCTTCTTATACGATGATTTTCCTAAACAGCAGATGGCTTTGATTACCCCTGCTGTCTGCAGTAGATCAAAGGTCTCATCGAAAAACCTGTCTTATAAACCCCCATAAAACTACACCCCCTTACTTGTCTTGCTGAGAAAGTTATTTTTCTATAAGACAAGCCGATCGACAACACCTTTTATACTCCTTTATCGCTCATTTTGGCGATCGCCAAGAAAAGATTAAGTGACATTTTTACAATTATGTTAAAATTGGAATAACTTTTTCGTTTCTCTAAATAATGATTCATTGAAATTTTCGTGGATAGTTATTTGGATCATTTGAATTCTCAAAATAAATTGGATGAATTTGGTTAACTTTTCTTCTGGTATATTTCGGCAACCATAAAATTGCGGTGTCTACCCAAAGAAACTGGTAGCGGGAGTTCAACATAGGTCAAAGAAACGGGAACCACCCTGTATATTTTGCTACTGGCTTTTATTTTTCTTAACTTCAACTATTATCTATTTTGCTTATGGGCCTCTGCGATTACTGATTTTGTTTTTCATTTTATTATTTTTATCTTATTTGAATTACCTTTGTAAAATAAAAATTATTCGTCTGGCATATTTGATTTTTATTTTTGTTCTTTTCTTTTTCAAGTAAATGAACTAAACTTTATTCCATAAACCACATATATTTCGACTACATTTTTTTTAAAATCTTACATTTCGATTACTGCTCTGAAATTTGTTTACATATTTTAAATAATTATCTATTGTAGTATTATTTTTTAACATTTCTTCAAAAATCTCAAATAATCGTGACGTTTATCGTATGCGATTAAATGCTGACTTATCGTAGGTAAATTAGTAACGTGGTAAATAATTGCAGGTAATTATTTAAGATTAAATTATTTCAACTTAAGGTTAAATAATTATTTCAATTTTTTTTCAAAAAAAAAAAATACGTAAGATCAAAAAAAATTGTCGAAAGATAACGAATCACGTTTGAAGAGGGCGATAGCAATGGAATAGGCTTTGTTGTTTTTAATTATGCCTTTTTCAACAGTAATTCGTCAGATTTTGGTAGCTTCCTGTTTAAACATTGATTTACGACCTTCAATATGTATATTTCTTTTACAATTTTTTTTATTAACAAAATATTAAAAACCTATCCCAAGTAGCACAATTCACAAAAACGATATCGTAAAAACTTAGAAAACTTATACTTCTACAATATCGTAGCAAAACATTGTACTATATAAAAATTGACCCCTTTTATAACGTATATTCAATATCGCGAATCAATATTGATCGATAATGTAAAAAAGTTGGGGAACGTCGATCGATATCTCTCAGCATTTCGGATATCTCTAAATTTATATTTTAATTTTATTTTTTGGAATTATAACAATTTGACGTCATTTTTTGTCTTTTAAATGATTTATTTTGATTTAAGAACACAATAAAGTTTAAAATGAAAAGTTTTACAAACAGACTTATAATGTGAAATCGACGGGAATCGTACAATATCGTACACACGATGTCAATTTTCGTCAATATTGACAATGTCGGTCAATGTAGACTAAAGCTGTTACAATATCCCTGTGCTACTTGGGATATAAAGATCTTTAATTAATGTATATTATTAAAAAAATAGTATCTTGACATCGATTTAATGTTGTTGCATCTATTTAGGTTACAGTGGTTCCCATTGCGAGGAAGATATCGATGAGTGTTCGCCGAATCCTTGTCTCAATGGAGGAATGTGCAGTGACAGAATCAACGCTTTTAAGTGTCTCTGTCCAATCGGATTTTCAGGTAGAAAGTGCGAGATCAATGAAGATGACTGCATGTCCCATCCATGCCAGAATGGTGGAAATTGCACTGATGACATTGCAAGCTATACTTGTCACTGCAATCCTGGTAATTTTTAAATTTTGTTCCTTACAGTTTGTTACATTTTTTACAGGAATAGTTTTTTTGACTTTAATTCTTTTTTAACTTTTTTTTCAGAAACATCATCAAAATTGCATCGCGATATTTGAAATATCGCCATAATTAAAAAAGATTATCGATGATCGATTTTTTAATTATTGTTTGTCGATATATCGCCCAACTTTAGTTTTCCCACTGAATTAAGCAATATCGCGATTTATGGTCAGAAAATATCGTTATTTCGCGATCTATATCGAATGTAGTTTTTTTAAATAATAAATTTTCAATATCTATGGATTTTATATTGTGGAATGTTACCCCAAATAAAGGAAAAAATCTTCTTTATTTCAAAATTTAGTTAAACGTTGTTTGAAATTTTGCCACACGATATTTATCGATATTCACGATAATATCATAAAAATCACAACATTACCCTAATCGATATCGCTATAGTATCTTCGTTAATTATCATGTACTCAATGTCATATTCATGGACGATAGATACATCATCAGAATATATTTTAAATATCGCGATAATTAAAAGATCGATAATCGTTTTTTTAATTATTGTTAGTTGATATATCGCATATCTTTAGTTTTCTCATTGAATTAAGAAGGCTGATATATTATTTTTTATTCTACAGTTTATAAGAAACAGAAACAATACAGTTATAAAATATTTAATTCTTGATTTGATTAGGAAATAATTATTTAAGGAAAATTTTTTGAACTTAAATATTCCAGCTTGTTCACGATTTTTACAAAAAGGATACGATATCTAAGAGGATAAAAATTGGCCTGTTGAAAAAATTTTAAGCATTAGCAGAGGTGGTTGTGCTCCAGAAAAAATCCGGATTTCCGGATTTTGCCTTAACTACGCTCCGGAAGTTTCTGGAAATCTTAGGTCCAGCAGTTTTAAGAAATCATCGATCACATTTATGTGTAAAAATTCTTGAATATTTTATTTGAAAATATTTGGACTGGGCCATGGCGCAGAATAGATCAAGATGGCAAAAACTTATTGGGACGGCCTTGGCCTGTCATAGGCTGTAGTGCCCAAGAAGAAGAACTAGAATTTATACTTGGCATCTTTCACTTGTAAATATTTTTTCTGGTAGAATAATAAATATGATGAGAGATAAAAAATAAACTTATACAAAATTATTCATTTAAATTATGCTGTATATAATTTATTTAGAATTCAATGTTTCGAAAATATCAATGATTTAAATTTATAAAGACATTATGTGTCTTTAATGATTGTTCTCAAGAAATTTTCCGGATTTTTGAGTTGGGCTCACAATCACCCCTGCATTAGCCATCACAATAAATTAATGATTTTTGATTCATTGCAGGTTTCTCTGGTACAAACTGTGAAACGAACATAAATGATTGTTTGTCTTCTCCTTGTCATCATGGGCAATGCATTGATGGAACAAACTCTTTTGTGTGCATGTGTGACCCTGGTTATAAAGGTCTGTTGTGCCAAACACAGATAGACGAATGCCTCAGCAAGCCTTGTCAACATGGCGGTATTTGTGAGGATCTTGTCAATGGATACCAATGCAGATGTCGCCCCGGAACATCGGGCACAAACTGTGAATACAACATCAATGAGTGCTCCAGCAATCCATGCCGTAATGGAGCTGTATGTGTTGATGGAATTAATACCTACAACTGCCAGTGTGTCCCTGGTTTCACTGGTAAGTGAATTTAAAATCAGTTTTAATAACTATAATTATTGATTCTAATTTAAAAGCTTAATGGATAATTTTTGCTTTTAAAACCATAATATAGTTTTGTATTATTTAATATTTAATGATTATGTTGTTTGTAGGTCTACATTGTGAAACAAACATTAATGAATGTGCTAGTAATCCATGTGCTAATGGCGGCATCTGTACTGATATGGTCAATGGCTTCAAATGTGAGTGTCCCAGAGGATATTATGACGCTCGATGTTTGTCCGATGTCAACGAGTGTGCCAGCAACCCTTGTCTCAACGGAGGAACGTGTGAAGATGAAGTCAACAAATTTAAATGCCATTGCATTAGTGGTAAGTTGTTTTCAGTAGCTTAAATCAGTGTTGCATGTTGCATGCTTAATTCATTATTTATGAAGTTTCATCAATTAAGTATTTTCAGCTCTGAAGTCATTGATATTATAAAAATTGACGCAACATTTAAAACAACTTCTTTTTATCTCATGTTTTGTCTGTCTTCAATTGATCCTCCCTTTAAGTAATTTTTCTTTATAGATGCATATAATAGGTAACAGTTTAAACCCTTTGGTTCAGAATGTGTAAAAGCAAGATTATATTCTCAAATAATATACAGTGCTAAATAATTTCTTGTTTATTGGCTGACTTAAATTTTTCTCCTCCTGCATTTTAGGTTATGGTGGACATCGTTGTGAAATCGAAATTGACGAGTGCCAGTCAAACCCCTGTCAACATGGAGGTATTTGTCACGATCGATTGGCATCTTACGAATGCTCTTGCTTGCCAGGATACAGTGGTCAGAACTGTGAATCTAATGTGGACGATTGTGAAAGCAGTCCTTGCTTGAATGGGGGATCCTGCATTGATCTAGTGAATGCCTATCAGTGTGTTTGTGAAGTACCATTTACTGGCTTGAGATGTGACAATGAACTGAATCCATGTTCACCCAACAAATGCAAAAACAATGCCAAATGCAGTCCATCATCAAATTATCTTGACTTTGCTTGCTCATGTGAATTAGGATACACAGGTAAAAGAGAGATACACTTTTTTTTGGTAATTTGTGATAGGAAATTTTTTGACAGCATTTAAAGTTTTGTTTAATAGTAATATAATGAAGGGAATTATCCATACAGGCATTGCTAATATATAATTACAATTGAAGCAATAAATTAATTAAGAGGTTTAAGAAAATAGCTTTGAAATTAATTACATGACTATTGTAATGAATTAAAAATAATATTTGGCAAAAGTGAAAGCTATACCCAATTATATGATAAATTTTATATTGACTTAATTGCATGTTGTAACTTTACATATCTTAATTATAAATAACATCATTTGTAATTCACCACAGTATTAATTATAATATTTGTTAATAAATAAATTGCATCTATAACCAAAATTATATGACTATAACACATCATTGAATCATCTTGTATTTATTATCATAAGCTTGCCATTATTGAATACATATAAAAAATTGTAAATCACATTTTTTTACATCATTAATTGAAGTTATTTTAATATTTGTATATATGAGTTATAAATGTTGATGAAAGAATCGCATCTAATTTCGTTAAATATATCCAGGTCATCTCTGTAATGAAGACATCGATGAATGTGCAGTATCATCCCCTTGCCGCAATGGTGCTACTTGTGTCAATACAAATGGGTCATATACATGTGTTTGTGCTAAAGGCTATGAAGGCAGAGACTGTTTGATAAATACTGATGATTGTGCTAAATGTAAGCATAAATGATAAGCACAATCTTGACAACTTTGCATTTTTGAGTGAAGTTAGAAATTACATTTTTAAATGTTTGCAATTTTTATCCTATTTTAATACTTGCTATATCTATTTTTAGTTCCTTGTCAAAATGGTGGTACATGCTTAGACGGGATTGGGGAATACAACTGTTTATGCGTTGATGGATTTGGAGGAAAACATTGTGAAGTCGATGTGAATGAGTGTGCTAACTTTCCTTGTCTAAATGGTGCAACTTGTAATGATTATGTCAACAGCTACACTTGCACATGTCCTCTTGGATTTAGTGGAACTAAATGCCAAACTAATGATGAAGACTGCACTTCCAGGTATAGTTATTTGAATATATAGTCCATTCTTTTTTGTTTAATATTTGATGGTTAGTACTCGTAGTTATGTGTCGATTAAAACTAATTAAAGACAAACTAATTTAAGAAAATTAAAATTAAGAAACTAATTAAAGATGAGCTAGGTATCCTGCTAATATTGTGAGACATTTGTAAAAAAAAGTTTCCTTTTTTAAATAAATATATGTTATTAAATAAATATTTATTTAAATCCTATGTAACATATCTATGTTACCTATTGAAGGGGAAATCCTTTTCTGTTGAAAGACTTAGGAACATATAATAAGCATCGTTTGCAAATAGTTCAAGAACGCATTTTTGGAGGAATCCTAATTGATTTTGTGGTATTGTGCTGTTCTTTTTCTTGGGCACTACAGCCTATGACAGGCCAAGGCTGTCCCAATAAATTTTTACCATCATAATTTATTCTGTGCCATGGCCTTCCAGTTAGCTATTAAGCTGTTATCCAGTTGAAATATCTCATGTTTTACGTTACTGGCTGGAAACAATACTAAGGATTAATTTGTAAAGATGTCAGCTTTGGAAAAAGTGTGACATATCCTTGTATTGCTTCAAGCCCTTTTAGAATTTTATGATGGAAAAAAATAAGACTTATAAACACTCTTTATGTAGCAAAGCATTCTACAACAATAGTTTGCTAGTTGCTTAAAGTTAATTTAAAGTATTTCATATACAAAATGTGAATCCTGAGTTTTTCAGTACTTAAATAATAGGCCTCAACTGCCTCGTTTTGTCCAAGTGTGTCTCATTGTTATGAAGCTTGTTTTTAGCTTTTGGAAGCTTCATTCTTGTTTTTTATTATATTTTGATTTTCTTGAATTAGATTTCACTTGTACTTATTATTTTTCTCACTTCATTTCATTGTGTACAGTTCTTGTATGAATGGAGGAACATGCATTGATAGTATCAACAGCTATGTGTGCCAGTGCACTCCTGGATATACTGGATCAAACTGCCAATTCCACATCAATGAATGCGATTCTCAGCCCTGTCATAGTGGTGCTACATGTATTGACCATGTTGGATATTATTCTTGCCTCTGCCCTTTTGGTTACACAGGAATACACTGTGATGTAAGTTAGATTCTGCTATCAGTTAACATTTTGATATCAGGTTAAAAAGTGTACAAAATTCAATGTGTTCACATATGATATATCTTATTACTTTCATTTTTAGACTTTTGTTGATTGGTGCAGCACAAGTCCCTGCTTGAATGGTGCTACGTGCATGCAGTTAAATAATACCTATGGGTGCACTTGCCAACCTGGATGGACTGGAATGCTTTGTGATGTTTCTATGGTGTCTTGTTCAGATGCTGCAGCACAAAAAGGTAACTTAGTTAAACATGATCTGGTTTGACAAAATTCTATTTTAAAATGTGTTGAAACATCAGGCACTGCTTTCCGTAAAATATTATCTTATTTAGTATACAATTGTAATAAATTAATAACCCATAATAATCATCATCATCAATGGCTCGACAGCCCAAGGTGGGCCTTGGCCTTCTCAAGAAGCTTTTTCCAGACTAACCTTTTTTTTTTTTTGCTAGTGTTTTCCAATTTTTAGTTTTTAAGACCAAAAGGTCTTTCTCTAGGCCATCTATCCATCTCAAATTCGGCCTGCCTCTTTTTCGTGTGCCAACTGGTCTGGCATCCATATTTGTGACAGACAAAAAATTACTTATAAACTGAGATATTCGAATACGTTTGAAATTATGCTTTATGTGTATTTGATTTTTCTTCATCTTGCATTTTTTTTCTAATGATTTTAATAGTACTTAGGTCAAACATTACTACTATACATAGGTGACAATTTATCGACAAAATTTTAATTTTCATTAGGTCATTAATTTGTTTTTATGCTCTTGGAATTATTTATGCTCCTTGGCTAATTAATGCTTTTTTTTTTACAATCAGGTATTGATGTACAAGATTTGTGCAAAAATGGAGGAACTTGTGAGAATCGAGGAAATAGTCATCATTGCATTTGCAGCAGTGGTTATGAAGGCAGTTACTGTCAGCATGAGATAAATGAATGCAGTTCTCAACCATGCCAAAATGGTGCCACTTGCAACGATTTGGTTGGCCAGTATTCTTGTGATTGTCCTCCTGGATTTCAAGGTATTTTTTTGTTGTTGCAAATATGATAGGAATAGAATTTTGATGATTGAGATTTTAGGAGATTTCATCTATGCTTATATTTGCATCCACCAATAATACATGGTATATTTATCTCCATACAGGATTGAATTGTGAGTTTAACATCAATGATTGTGATCCAAACCCTTGTCGAAATGGAGGCATTTGCCATGACTTTGTGAACAAATTTGTGTGCTCTTGTCCTCATGGTACTCTTGGCATCTTATGTGAAATAAACACCAATGAATGCTTTGAAGGAGCTTGCCACCATGATGGTGTCTGCATTGATAAAATTGGCCATTATGAATGCCAATGCCAGCCTGGATTTGTTGGGCCAAGGTAAGTTAAACTTATTGCAATCCAGTGGTAGTCAAACTAGGTCTGCGTACACGCAAGTTTTTCGTTCCTCGATGAAATAGGTACGCCACAAAAGAAATGTTATCTTTCACAAGAAAACAAATTGAAGGACAGGGCTTACTGCATTCTAATTCTTCATAAATCTATCAATACTTAACCCCCTTTGTTGACCGTACAGGTGAGCAAACTACCTTCCAGACCCCATCCTGTAGCATCCATCATGTTAAAGGGGGGCAACCACAAATGATTTGTAGATACAAATTTTAGTGTGAGTTAAATTTGGTTGGTGGAATCAAAGTTTGTGTGCAGGCAGCCTAAATTAATTTGTTACTTAATTACACAAACACGTTAAAATGATAAATGCAAATATTTCAAACTATCAAAATTACTCAAATCTTTATAACTGTAAATAAAAATATACTAAACTGAAGAGGTTGATCATTCGGGTCATGTATTTCTAAATTTAATTTCTGTGAAATGAGTGAACAATTAGAAAATCCTACTGTATTGTAGCTTGTTAAGTTGACCTTTTGTTAAAAGTGATTCTAATGATCAAGTTCCAAGCTGGCTAAGACAGTTAAATCCCCTTTATAAATTGACCACTATGTAGACAATGAAATTGTGGTTCCACAAGTGTTCCTCTGATACAATTTTCACTGTGCCAACATAGGAAGGAGGATAAAAAAAGGTTAACTACTCATGCTTTACATAAATAAATAAAAAATATTTATTTCTTAATTGATATTGAAAATTGTTATTTTGATCTTCAGGTGTGAAGGTGATGTCAATGAATGCCTTGCTGATCCTTGCAAATGGCCTGGTACACAAGATTGTGTTCAGTTGGTGAATGATTACAGATGTGATTGTAAACCAGGCTACATGGGTAGGCATTGCGAGATGAAAGTTAATTTCTGTGCTACCAATCCATGCGCAAACGGCGGAGTTTGCAGTTATAGTCCAAATGGATCTCCAGTATGCATTTGTCCAGAGGTAAATTTTATTGTTTACTACACTTTGCTTCCAAATTTTAAAAGTGTCCATATCATGAGCAAAAATAAATGTATTATATAATTAAAAAATGAATGAGTCTCAATTAGTGTAAAAAATATATTTTAAAAAAAACTTATTTATATTATGTTATAAAGTAAAAATTTTAAGTTACCGAGAATTGTTTGGAAATGTAAACAATTGAAAAATTTATGCATTCATATTTTTCTATAAGAACTGTGCTAAATTTAACTTTCAAATTTTACACATTTAGCTTTCAATTTATATTAATTAATTTTAATTTCACAATATTTTTTATTATGATTTTCTCATTATTATGTTTACCATAACTTTAAAATGCTTTTAAACAACAAAAAAATCTAATCTTTTAAACAATAAATGAATACATGCATTATTTTATTACGAAATTATGCTTTTAAAGTGATAAAAATCGAAAAACAATTTTTTTTTGAACAAATAATTCTTCTAAAACAGAAATTTCTTAATAGTTTTTAATTTTATCACTTTCATTTTATAATAAAAGTAACTCATGCCAATACATTACACCTTTTGGGTAATAAATTATTCTATAGCAATAGTTTGTAAGTCCTGCTAAATTTAACTTATAATTTTAGCAATTTCTTATTATTTCTTAAGAAAAATATAAAAACAGTTTTTGTGATTGAAATTAATTATTTTATTCAAAGAAGCTTAATTTTGTATGAGGAGAAGCGATACTTTTATTTTCTCCTTAAAAAGAATATACTGTGTGAATTATCAAAAATGAAATCAATTTGAATGAGATATGATCACCCCTTTTTATGTCAAAAATAAATGAACAAATAAATAATTGTGTGGTATTATAATATTTATTTTATTTTTTGCAGGGATTTTGGGGTGAGACTTGTACTCATACCAACACAACATGTGCTAGCTATCCATGTAAGAATGGTGGTCAATGTAAGCCAAAGAGTCATGGTTATACATGCGTTTGTCCTCAAGGTATGGGTGGCAAGCACTGTGAAAATGATTTAATTGATGATTGCTTATCCTCTCCTTGTTTGCATGGAGGTGACTGCATTGATCGCATAGGTAAGAATGGCTCACGCACCAATTAACATTTGAATTCTTAATTCATTGCTCAAAATACACAAGAATTTTGTAAACATTTGCCTATTGAAAAATAGGCTAGCAAAAAAAGGAAGAAAGAAAGATAAAGTTAGCAGTCCATATCCTACATGAAATTTTCTAAAATTTGTCGATTCATGACAAATGTTATGTAATCACATCATTATTATATAATTTTGGTTTATTTACAAAAAGTGAAATCTAAACAAATTCTTTTTATTTTATGTTTTTATTACAAAATACCAAAACATATTTAAAGGTTTTATTATGAAAAACCATACTTATGTGGTTTATGCTTGGAACTTTCTGACTAAGAAAAAACTTAAGCAGGAGTAATAATAGAGTATATTTTGAAGTCAACTACAAAACTGTCAGGGTTTATTTAGTTTTAAATTTGTACATTTTAAAGTGGTACAAGCAGTTTAAATCCTGAAAATCATTTTTGATTAGATGCAGTAAAAGTAGGAAATTCAAATGATATCTCTAAGTTTTTTTAATGTAAATTCTACATTTCATGCAACAGTAGCAAATATTTCGATACATATTTTTTAAATTTGTTTTTATTCCCCTTTCATAAATTGAATTTTTTTTCCGTTCAGATTTTGCTTTTTACTTACTTTTTTATATTGTGTTTCAGAATGTAATTTTTAATCTATTTCATAGGTAAATTTGAATGTGACTGTCCCCCAGAATGGAATGGCTTGCGATGTGATATCTACGATGCAACATTTGGTGGTGGAATACCAGCTGAGAATCCAATCCAAAAGTCTTTGGAGGAAGAGAGGAAACTCTGTGTGATTAATCGATGTGAGGACAAAGAAAAGAATAATATTTGCGATGAGGAATGTAACAGCTATGCTTGCAACTTTGATGGAGGAGACTGTTCGCTAGGTATTTCTATGGATTATAAATTACTTTGCAATTTATTTTATAAGTCTTCATAAAAATGATGGAAAAAAAAACTATGCATACTAAGAAACTTATACCAATCACTATTGAGATTCGTAAAATGAAAAAAAAAAATTCAATAAATCGAAAACCAGCTTGTTTGAAAATTCAAAAAGCTGTTTCAAACTAAAGATGAGTGTCTTCCAGCCTCACTAAAAAAAAATTGATTTTCGAAGATTTTAATCCTTTCATTACCATTTTTAACCTCAGAAAAGGTTTCCCCCCCACAATGAAATATCAATTTACAACACCTTATGCATATAGTTTTTTTTTCCTTCTAATTTTTCAAGGATTTTAGAAATTTATTTTAATGATCTCAACCAAAAATTTTAAATAAAAATATAAAGTCGTGTATCTAGAAAATATATAATTAGTTCCTTTTGTGTATTAATGTTGTTTAAAATGACTTCATTCTTTTTATGGATTTTTATTTTAAATTAAGAACTTTTTATTAAGTTTCTCTCAAGATCTACTTTTTGAATTTGCTAACTGCTAGTTATAATTTTAGAATTCAGGAAATCAATTTAATAATACCCATTCTAATCCTTATACATAAATTGGAGCAATTTAACCCCAATAAACTATAATACAATAACTGAGCAATTTTCGGTTTTAGAGCTCTGCCAAGTTTCCAAGTTTAGCGCTCTGCAATAAAATATTAGTAAGAACCATAATAGTTGTCTCATCTATTGCTTGTTACAAAAATCAGTTATGACTTACAGAATGAAGTTTGAAAATTCTAGCAAATCTTAATAGTCTTATAGTATAGTTTATGCGATTTTGAAACTGGTGTATATGATAGTAAAGTTGTGATAGATTGATGATATTCATGATGGCAGAAATGAAGTGTGACGTTGGTGTTTCTCGCTCATCTAAATTAAAACCCTTTTAGTCAATTTGCCCGTTTCTAATAATTAACTTTCTTTGATCTTGCATTAAGCCACACATAAATGTAAACATTCTAATCTTAAACTCAACAAATTTTATATGTATATTTTTCTTTTAGGCATAAACCCTTGGAAAAACTGCAAAGCTGGTATCAAATGTTGGGATGTCTTCCAAGACAAGCAGTGTAACATTGAATGCAACAACATTGACTGCCTTTATGATGGATTCGACTGTGATCAATTGTTAATGCCCTGCAAGTAAGTATATTGAAAATTCACTAGTTCATAATATTTCAATAAAATTTCTTAATTAATTAAAAATTAATTCATAAAATTAATAAATCTTGATAAAAAAAATTTATTAATGTTTTATTATTATTCTAGTGAGCATTATGATACTTATTGTCTGAGGAACTATGGGAATGGCTATTGTGACAATGGATGTAACAATGAGGAATGTAACTGGGATGGTTTGGATTGTGAACCTGATCCTCCTGTATTGGCTGCTGGATCTTTAGTCCTTGTTGTGCTCATGGAACCAGAGGTAAGTTTAGTTTGTATTTTTGAATATTTACAAAACTGTCAGTGTCATTGAGTTTTTATCACATTTAAACATATATTTAAATAAAATGACAAAACTAAAAATGACTCATCCTTATTTACAGGTATTTTTGAACAATAGTATATCATTTTTAAGAGAAATGGGCCATGCTTTAAGGACTAATGTCAGACTAAAAATGGATGAAAATAACCGACCCATGGTATACCAGTGGAGATCTTCTGAATTTGACCCATCATCAATTTTGAGACCTTTTAGAAGTACTGGGTAGGTTTATTAGAATCATACTTAAAATAGAAAAATTATTACCAGTTTTTTTTACAAAATTTTTTAATGTAATTTATGAGTTATTAAACTTTTTCTTCTTATAGAACCCAAATATATCTGGAAATCGACAATAGACGTTGTTCTAGGCTTAATGATGGAGAGTGCTTTGTTAGTGCCAAAAAGGTAATAAAGCCACAAATATGTAGATTAAATAATTTTTTATTTCAACAAATAGCAAATTTTTTTCTGTTGTAATTTTTTAATTATTACATAATTTTTATAATTTCATCCTTTTATTCCAGGCTGCACAGTTCCTTGCTGCAGCACATTCGAGACATGCTTTGTCTACTGCCTTCCCCATTTCACAAATTCAAGAATCATCTGATGATCGTGATGGGCCAGTGTTTGAAGATTACTCTAAATTGACTTATTTCTGGATTGGAGGTGGAGTTGTTCTTTTTACCATTTTGGTCTTGGGAGTATTGGTTGGTTCTAACCGCAAACGTGCCAGAGGAATAACATGGTTTCCCGAAGGCTTCCTAAGAAACAATAGTGGCCAAAGGAGACGTTCTCACAGGCGTGGACCCGATGGCCAGGAAATGAGGTTAGTATAAAATTTTTAGTTATAATTGGAGAGCTTAAAGAATGATGTTAAGTGATGTAACAATTAAGTGATGCACTGTGCCAAGTATTTTTTAGATCTTCCTCTTTTTCTATATTGCCCTGAGGGTTCAAATCAAAAACTTGTTTAACTTTAAATTTTTTAGGTTTACGTAGAATATAACGAATCCATTTCCATTTACGTTTTTAATTTCCAGATCAAGCGGTTTCTGTTTTGCTTTTCTAAGGATTTCTGTATTACAAATTTTATGGGACCACTTGATACGCAATATTTTTCTTAAACAGTTGTTAAATACTTGAAATTTTTTTTGCGTTACTTTTATTGCTGTGCCATGTTTCAGATCCACATAGTAGGACATATTTAACATTAGTATAACATAATTTATTGAGAATAGCGTAACTGCTTTGGACTTTATTTAATTTATTTAGTACATCTTTCTTTTTCGTTGTTAGTTATACTCCCTCCTCTGTTTACCTCCTCTAGTTTATTATTTTCTAAGAATATGTAATTTAATTGTTTGGGATTAATTTTCAAAAAGTTATAATTGAAGCGCTTAGTCAAGGATGTTAAGTGATACCATATAAGCATGCTAGATTTCAGTTTTAGAGCATATTATGGCCATAACTCCAAGTATAAAATGTTAATCCATTTGATCAAGTCATTAAATAAGGCAATTCTCATAAGAAAAAATATATTTTGTACAGAGCTTTTTGATAATGATGGCATTAATTACTTAAACCTTACATGTTCTTGTAGAACTTGCTTTAATTAACGTTCTGCAGAATAAGAATTGAATTAACAATTATTAACATATTTATAACAAGACATTTATATTTAACTTTATTATTAATGTTATATGCCAAATTATCAGGTGTATATAACTGTATATTTGACTTACATTCTGAAAAATTTTATGCATTATAACAATTATACATTTTGGTTTTTAAATTGCTTTCTTTATTATACATTGATTTAATTTATAAGTATATTAAATTTGGCATTCAAAATCCTAAATTCAACAATAAAAATATTCAACACCAATATATTGATTTTAGTTTCACAAATTAAATTGAGGCTGATTCTATTTTTTCCTAAAACCCTTTTATATTAATTTCAGGAACTTACACAAACAGTGCTCCATTAACCATCTAGAAATAATGGATAATGGCTTGGGACCCCCTGAAAGTCAATGGAGTGATGATGACATGGACCACCCCCCAATGAAGAGAATGAGAAGTGATAGGTCACCCAATCCCAGCTATGGTGATACTCACACAGTAATGACCACTGATGATTACGATGACAATGATCCTCGTCCATGGACTCAACAACATCTTGATGCTGCAGACATTCGAAATCCAGATATTTTAGCCCTAACACCCCCTCAAGGCGACAATGATTTAGATCCCAATTGTGTTGATGTGGATGTCAGAGGACCTGGTACGTAAAATATTACTTACAGTTACAATTTTACAAATTTCTTTTACACCTGTATTATGATTTTAAAATATCGCCAATTAAAATTTAATAAATGAATAACTTTAAACTAAACTTTAATTTTTTTCCCTTTTGGCATGAAGTAACTTAATTTTAATTTCTGCTTTAATATTATCCCCCCCCCCTTTAATTTGACCATTCCTTACTTAATGTAAAGAAAATGTATCAAATGAAACATAGCTGACCTTTAAAGAAAAATTTCGGAAATGAAGCTATCTTCAAGAAGATATCTTCATTCTCTATTCCAGAGCTGATACAATTTCTAACCAAATTATATTGGGAATGAAAATAATCTCTTACTCATTACTTTACTCATTACTTAACTCATTACTTTGGCTATTTAGGTTTCTTAGATATAAATTTAAGTTCAGATATTTTTTACATAAAATCATTAAGTAATTACTCAATATATTTTTTAGAATTTCCTCCAGAATATAAATTTATTTCATTTTTTGAGAATTAATGTATTCTTTTCCGGCAGGTGGCTTAACTCCATTGATGTTGGCATCATTTAGAAGTGGGGTAAATGGATTTGCTGACATGAAAGATGAATTTGATGAAGACAATGGCTCAGGCAATATTCTGACAGACTTGATTATGCAAGGAGCTGACATAAATATTTCAACGGAAAGAACAGGTAAGAACTATGCAATAATTAATGAAAGCACTTATAGTAATTAATGATAGTGTAATTTTGTTTTATGTTTAAGTGAACCCTGAAAATTAATGTGTTTTTAATTATTTTAGGAGAAACACCTTTACATTTGGCTGCCCGGTATGCTAGAGCTGATGCTGCCAAGAAACTTTTGGATGCTGGTGCAGACGCAAACGCTCAAGATAATACTGGTCGTACACCTTTGCACGCCGCTGTTGCTGCAGATGCACAAGGAGTGTTCCAGGTTTGTACTTTGAGCTTATATTTCTCTATGACTAAGTTAATGAATGGTGTAGTAAATAAAAATTTAAAACTTTTAGTTACCAGAGAACTTTGTTTTAATATTCAAACTTTTGATTTTTGAAAATGTAATTTTTGCCTATAACATAATCCTATTACGTAATATATGCTATAACATAACTAGCATCCTCTGTCAGAAGAGAGTTGAGATTCTTGATACTTCAGACTATAGTACGTACTATAACAACAACTTCATTTTTGTGTGTTTGTATATTTGTAATTGTGGGTAAATATTCATTGATTATTTTGTGGACCTCTTACTTTATCCATTTTGGTTTTAAGACCAATTACCATTTAATTAATTTTCCTGGTTGATTTTGGCTTAAATCAACATCAAAGAAATATTATGAGATTTCAAAAATTAATTTATTCTTTGCCCTTATCTAGAAGATTAGAATGATGTTAACTATTTACATGTAAGTCGTAGGAGTCAGGCCGCAAATATAAATAAATATTAATTTAAGCATATTCTAAAGTTTTTTTAAAACTGCTTTTAAACTATTATTTAATGTGAAATGCTAATTATAATAGAAGTTTAAACTTGTGAATTTAATGCTTCTTTTTCTCTCTATTTGCTTATACATAACAAAAACAAAATATTACAATTTTTAGCATTTTTACTGATACAAATAAACCTTTTTTTTAACCCCATTTGTAATAAGTTGTACTTTTTTTTAGATATTATTACGGAATAGAGCCACCAACCTCAATGCAAAAATGCATGATGGTACCACACCTCTGATACTCGCAGCAAGATTGGCTATTGAAGGAATGGTTGAAATTTTAATAAATGCTGAAGCTGATATTAATGCAGCTGATGATCTTGGTAAGAATTCTTTTTTATTTTAATCCAGTAAATAAAAATGAATTTATATATACTCTTATAACTTAAACCAAGGACACGGACTTTTAATTCAATGCACATTATTTTTTTATAGGAAAAACTGCTTTACACTGGGCAGCAGCTGTGAACAATATAGAAGCTGTACAAGTACTGTTATCTCATGGAGCAAACCGAGACGCACAAGATGCCAAGGAAGAAACTCCCTTATTTTTGGCCGCAAGAGAAGGAAGCTATCAGGCTGTGAAAATTCTTTTGGAACATTTTGCCAATAGAGACATAACTGATCACATGGATCGATTACCGAGAGATGTTGCCGTAGAAAGGAGGCATAAAGACATCGTCAGATTACTCGATGATTACATGCCTTCCAGTCCTCCAATTAATATCCCACCAAATGGTCCAATGGGTTCTCCTGGGCTAATGGGCCCAAATAATATGCTCGGATCAACTAAGTCAGTTAAACCAAAGAAAAGACCGAAGTTAAATACAATTGCTGGTCTACCTATTAAAGAACAAGAAATGTTGTGTGCTGAGGCTAGCGTCCGAAGGAAGCCGTCGATGAAAAAGAGGAAAGAACCGCCACCCATGCTTATAAAAAATAGTGATGGTTCTATTACACTATCCCCTGTGAATTCTCTAGAATCCCCTTCGGCAGTTTCTTATATGGAAGGCACCCCTTCACCTCGTGATTCCATCTTCAATGGACACATGGGAATGTCGCATCCCAATCTTTTGAATGTGGATGGAAATTGCACCATGTCTAACAAACAACCTCCCTCTTATGAAGACTGTATTAGTGCAGCTACTCATATTTACGACATGATGGGCATGGATGCTCTCACAATGGGTCTGGGCAATAACTTTGGTAACAATGGTTTATTAAGCAACCAGCAAATGCAGCAAAAGAATTTGAAGCCAAATCATCCCAGGCAGAATTCCATGCCTAGCAGCATGTCCCAGAACCTCACTGTACCTACCTCCCTCGCATATACCATGTCAAACACTATGAACAAACAGCGACCCTCTTTGCCTACGTCTCCAACGCACATGGCAGCCATGCGTGCAGCTCATCACCAGAAGACAGTGCAAATGCAGTCTCATCCTAATGTCGGTAACACATACGACTACCCACCATTGACTGACCTTCATTCTATGCTAACCGCACCAAAAACTTCAGTGGCCAACTCAAACATGCATATTAACCATCAACAATCGTATCATTACCCCACCCCTCCATCTCAACACAGTCAAGCTGACGCTACACCACAACCATACCTTTTAGGACCTGAAACTTACCTAACACCTTCCCCGGAATCACCCGGGCAGTGGTCTAGTTCTTCACCTCACTCTGCTCAATCGGACTGGTCGGAGGGCATTTCAAGCCCAATGGGACCCACTGGCATGCACCCCTCTTTGTCAGTTAGTGAGCAGCAAAAGTCACAACAGCAAGCTGTACAGCAATCTCATTTAGGACCTGAAGCTGTTTTTATTTGAAAATGTAATAGCTGTATAGAATATTGAGATTAAGTCATTTATATTATACATACATATTTAAATTACACTCGATGTCATATGAGAGAAATTTGATGGTGTTTGTGTACATAAACTATTGCACCGGTAGGATCGAAATGAAGTTCTTCTGAGTGAAACATTGTTTTCTCATATGAAGTGGTTTATAAATCAGCATATTTTTAGCAATAATTTTTACCTCAGAAATGCATTATTTTACTTCATATGGGAATGTCAGACACTACATATTTTGTTTCAAACTAAGGGAATTTTGAGAAGATTTTTAAAAAAAATTTCTCAATTCCTTATTTTAAATTTTTTTTAAATTTGTAAAAAATCATCAGTTTTAGTAATCTGTTACAATTAGTGAGCAAACCTTAATTTGCTGCATGCAAGGGCTTACTTTTTGGTCCTGCTATTAAATTCAAAACAATCATTTTAGTATATTGATGTAAATGACAATTCTAAACATTAAATTAATGAATATTAATCTAGTGAATCTTGAAGTTTAAAAAAAAAAAATTAGGTTCTGAAAAGTTCATTGCCCCTTTGATGACGAATTTTTATTAAACATATTTTCCATACTTCATTATTTTATTTTTGTAAAATTAAAATAAGTGAAAAATATTATATTTATTATTTTAATAATTTATGAATATAATAAGTTATGAAATACAGCATGAAACACTAGTGTCATTTTTTGCGTTAAAGATAAATAATTCAAACACTGGTCACTTTCAAGCAATAATTTTTCAAATGTGCAGTTATTTAAATCTAAGAAAAACAGTTAAACATCATCGAAATTTCTTTTATTTACAAAATCAATTATTGATAAATTTTTGAATGAAAAAAATTTCAAACTTCTTTTACCTCTCAAAAACAAACTAGTTTTTTTTTTATTTTTAAATAAGTATAATTTTGATAATCTAACAATTTTTTTAATTAACCATTAGACTGTTTTTGTTGATTATAAAATATCAAAATGCATTTTTGCTTGTATTTAGAGTGTCAGGAAAATATATATACATAAAAGGGACAGCAGTGTCCAATCTGCGCCAAAGGGCCAAATGAATCTTTCTACCTCTCTCCATAATCTAAAAATAGCTTAATGACTATGAAAAAAAAAACAGCACTAAAGATTGGCATCCATGTTCAGGTATTCATTGTGTGTTTATTTAGTTGATCACATGTTTCACGAAAGCTTTATTGTCCTACTTCAAGCTATAAACATTCTTTTAAAAATTGTGATAGTTAAAAGAAGTTTTAACAGTAATAATTTTGGTTATGTTAATTAAATGTTATGCAATTCTCTCAGATACCGATGATTGTACAGTTTGTTTTAATGTACATATTTGTGTTGTAGCAGAGGAATTATGCATGTTTGTACATCTTGTATTATTTTGAATGTAACATATTTATATTGCTCATTCGTGTACATGTTTTTGTTGTATTTATTTATAAAGAGCGAAATTTTCTTTTTAACCAAGTGAACATGACAATTGTAGACACTTTTGAATTATAAAATTTTTATTTCTTGTGCTATTCATTGACTTATAGATTTTTCTACAATTTGGTGGCAAAAAATATTAATTTTTAATCGAAGTGAGGGGTGCAACTCACAGAAAATTTAATAGTTCTTTGGCGTGCCACATTGTTCTAATGGCCAGAAAATATTCCTGACAATAAATATAAAATTTGTAATCTTTTATATTTTATTTATTCTGATAAGAAAAACTATCCATTATAAAAAGCAGTATTAAATTTTGTAAATTAATTTTGCTGTAAAAATTCAACAAGTCTTCCATGTTATTTTTTTCTCAATTCATTTTGTAATAAATAATTCATGACCACATTTTTTTGACCTTTATACCTATGAGCTGTGAGATTTTTGATAAATTTGTACATGGCATTATATATTCCACAGAATTTTGCATTAGTAATTTTATTCTACAAAAATTCTTATCTGCATCTATGTTAATATACAATTTTTTAATAAAAATCATTATTGAATGTGATATTTGTGATTTTATTTTTATGCTAGCCAGCACATTAAGTCTTCATACACTTTTATTAACACTTCAATGCCTAAATTGCAACTTATTTATAAATATTTCGTATATTAAAATAGAATGCCATTGCATAACTTAACCAAGGACATCAATTTAAAATTTCTCAAACTCCTGCATCTAACCTGTTTAAATTGAATATTGCTTTAAGATCAATAATAATTAAGAAAAGCGGAAAGAAATATCTAAAAATGTATGATATTGCATGAAAAGAAAGGTATTTTTACATTAGACGAGATGAATGAAAGTTCTAAATGACATCCATGTAAATAAAATTAAAAAAATTTTTGTTGATAGCTGTAAATAAAGATTTGCCTTGCCTTTATTTCGGAATTGATTTTTTGATTCATGATTGTTGTTACAGTCATGTCAAAAACGTTAGATACCCAGATTTTGATGACATTTCTCTTTTATTTCAATTAATTGAAATAAAATGTATTTTTCAATTCTCAAAGCACAAAACTTATAATAGATATTTAGCAAAACATTACTTAAGATTATTTATAAAAGCTTGATTATGTATTTTCCAAATATGAATATGTCAGAATTTCAAGTACTCAATCTTTTTAGCACTTACAGACTCATCAACGTTTGACAATTTTACCCTGACCTGCTGAGGAGGGAGAAACGTTTGACTGTTTATATTTTAGATTGTTTATGTTTAATAATTTTAATTTAATTGTATTTAAACAAGTCTTCAAAATAAAATACAATTACAGGCTAGGTTTTGGTCTATAGAATCTCATACAAACCAGAAAGAAATACACCAGTAAATAAAATGGAAATAATTTAAATACATGTTCCTTGTCCATGGCTCGGGGGTCTTAGACCACTCTCTTAAATGAAATAAATATATTTGTATAAATTGTCTACAAGTATAGGTTTTTTTTTCATTATACCTACTTCATTATTAATTTTTTAAACATTTCATGCATTAAATTTAAAAAAATTCTAACTTTAATCTAATGTAAGGTGGGGAAAGGGATGCATTTTTGTAGCCCTAGATTTATATAAAATTTATATTTAATTGCATATTAAAGTAATTATGCAAGTAAATGTGTATATAATAGTTAAAGTTAAGTAAATGTACTCAAAGTCTAAGTCTCAATAGTTACGTAAATGTGTATATAAAGGCAAAATAGTTAATTGTAAAGAAAATATTCTAAAAAAATTTTTTTTGCTGTACCATAACATAAGGAAAAATTGAGTATCATACTGTTTTTCCTGCGAAAATAAGGCTTTTGCGCCTGCTGTGTCGAAAACCAGGTCCTTTTCCTTTAAAGAATTTTTTTTATTTATAAATATGGTTTATTCTTTTCACAGTGTATGCACATGTAAAAAGTCCTAAAAGTATAAATTTAATCGCATTTTAAATAAGAAAAATATGTCCATTTATGTATTGACGTATACATGTAAAAAATTAAGCTTCTGTGATATCTGACTGACGATTTCTCATACCCACAGACACAATAACTTTGATTTTCAACAAGTTGAATTAAAAATGCACCCATTTTGTTCCAGAATATTTTTCGTAATCCATGAAAAAGATGGAAAAAAATCCTACTTGAAAGAAAAGCAAGAAAACGTTGCAATAATACGTTAAGTGGTTAAGAAGTTGATTTAATTCGACACTTTTTATGCAAATTGAATGAGTCTGAAAAATGTTTTCGAAAATGCCATTTAAAGCTTATTTCAACAAAACCAACAGCTAGGTTTCTTTCATTTACATGAATTTTTACTTATAACTTTTAGAACAACATTATCAAATGTACAGTCTGTTGATTTGTTCAGAAATGCATGGTTAAAACTTTTTTTTATATTTACCTTACAATCGCATTTAATAAAAAATCTTCATCAATGAATGCTTGAATTTCCTATGTTTCGATATTTTTCTGAGTTATCTACAAGGGCAGTGATGAAAGTTGAAATTACTGCAATCAATTATACTCGCATACATTTTTCAAAATTGCATGAAATAAATGAACTTAACATAGAATCAAAAATATGAAGACCTAAAAATGTTTAAGTTTAGCAGTAATTAATTTTGTTTGTCCTCACAATTTTGTTTCTTGCTTTCTATGAAATGCCATTTAACTTCAATGCTTTTTTCAATGAGACCACGAAGATTTAACACTTTTCTTTCATAGTTTTTATAAACCAATTAAGAACCAATTAAAAATTTAAGGAAATTCTTAAAGAAGTAAAGAAATACAATAGCGACCCTCATATTTTTCACCTACAAATTTGATTGGATTTTAACATAATTCCAAAGTTGTGAAATAAATAAAATCAAGTTTTGAATTATCGTCTGCTGATCAACTAAACTAATTTTCGTAGATATAAATTGGAATTCATTTAAAAGAATTAACAATACAAAACAGTGGCAAAGCTGAGGTTTTCAAATATATTTTATGCTCTTGTGATATACTTAATGAAAAAAGAAAAAAATTAATAAAAAAAATACAATATTAAAATAGTAGGAAGAAAATTTTTTTTTAAAAAAAGTCGTTTGGCAAATAGGGCCCTAAACTTATTTTGTGTTTGTTATTTTGTGTTGACAGAGGTTACGTTGTACTAAAAGGTAAATGTACAGTTAAAAAGAGCCAAAAAAAATTAATGACTTCCAAATATTTGACAAATATGGTTCAATAGTAAGGTCATTAACAATTAAGTTTTTGTTTTTGATGATGTAGTAACTCTCCCAAAAAAAGTCAATAACTGAAAATACATTTATGGATAAGAGGTTAAAAAAAATGGAACCTTCGGCCTTCAATGTGGTGGATGATGGAGTTCTTAGTTTTCGACGAAGCCTTGATGTTCTTTGAGCCGATATGTAAGTACTAGTATACCACTGCGTAATTTTTTAAATGGATTTTTTTTCATCTAATTTTAACATTACCCTACAGTATATACGCATTCAAGAATAATTAACCCGTAGAAGTTTTAAATTTAAATTGCGCTTTTCCAGGGCAGTTCTAAAAAGACAATGTTGAGTACAGCTAGTTTTAAATGTTACGAGCATTTTATATATAGAAAAAGGAAACATTAGATTAAAAAAAATTTTATTAAATTTTCAGCCATCAGATTATATCGTAACAAATTTATGGGAAAAACTATCGCTATGCGATTCGGACAATTCGCTATTTCATATGCAAGAAAATAGTATTTTGTTGCAAAAATATTCAATTGAAACCTAAGAAAATACTTTAAAATGTTTGAAAAACTATTTTAAGGATGAATAAATAAGTTTAAAGTACTTACTTTATTCTATTTTCTGTCAAAATAAGATATTGATCTTTACATTTGGAAACTCCATTAAACAATAGATAACTTTTTTTCTAAAACTCTTTCACGCAATAAAAATAATTATCTAGTGTTGTCTTTCATTAAGAATATCAAGTAATCGTCCCATTGAGACTTTATTCTATTATTTTATTTATTTTGTAATTCTATTATGTTATTTATTTATTTTGTAAATATCTAGAAACTTTTCGTGTGTGAGCGTGTGCAAAGATTGTATAAGTGTATAAGTTTTTTAAAGTTTTAATGAATTTTTATTTTTTAATATAAATTACTTTAGTTAAATAAATATTTACTACTTTAAAATAAATTATAATCCTGCTAAATTTGTGAACGGAAAAAAATTTAAAAGCAAAATCGAATCCGATAATAATTAACGGAGAAAATATGAGTGCATTGGGTTAAAATCAAATGATCTGCGCCCGTTCTTCAATCGCTCTTAACGGTGGCTTTCCTGCATTACACCTTCAGCGCCCAAGTTGGGGGAAAGATCCTTACGACTTAACATTGATAGTATAGGAAGTTTCCCTTCTTTACGCGAAGCGTATAAGTTCTTTGGCGTGTGCATGCATATGATACATTGGTTCAGAAATTAATACTGCTGTCGTAAGTTAGACTTGTTTAAAAAAATGGTAAATAAATATATAATGACGATAAATTGCAAAAGAGAAAATTGTGAGCGCATTATTGCGATCACTAGTTAACCACTGGTCATTTTTTTTTCTTTCTTTTGTTAAATGGACAGACTTTCAAAAATTAATTTTCAAATTTATATTAAGATTAGACACGAATTATAAATAAGTTAATTATAAATAAAAAAACAGTCAACTCCAAGAAGTTCAAAAATTATCGTCTGCTTTTTTTTTATTTGATCTGCTTGTGCTTTTTATTTTATTAAAGCTTATGTTAGCTTGATTTTTTATGACTCTTACAACTCTTTGTTTATGATTAGGATGTTGACGTTTATCTAGTCGAAAAGTCTCCCGGACATTAAGAACTTGAAACACCCAATTTCCCTATGGGTAATAAATAAAATTGAAATATATGCATAGAATTTTCGCAATGATTTATGCTAATTCCTTTCACTAGACAGAATTATAAAGTCTAAAAACTTCACTGTGAATTATATTGTCAGAGATAAAAATTTTCCGTCATTTTAAATTCAATGTCTCAAAATATTTTAGTTTGATTTACTTAAAATTTTTCATGAATGTTTTCTATACAAGTCTAGGGAATAGACTACGGACTAGTGGATTAAACTATTTCATATTTTAAAGCTAATATAAAAATAACTGATCACAAGTTTTGATCTTTTCTGTAAAATAAGTTTCGATAATTGCTGCAAAATATCTAAGTAATATGTCAAGCGCTTAATCTATTTCTTAATATGAGTATAATGAAGCAAGAATATTTAAGAAATAATAAATTTCATCAAAGCTATGTGATTTTGAAAAAGAGATCGATTTGTTTTTTTTGACCAGCTTTTCCCCATAATTTCTAAAAAGAAATTCTTAAACCTTTTAATATTCATTCTATGTTTTAGTATATATTACACACATAAATCTAAATAAAAAGTATTTAAATTAAAAATTTCAAAATTTTGCCTCTGGCGATAAGAATGTTAAATGGATTTTATTATGCTTGGTGATTAGCAATTTGGAATCATCGTTAGTGGTAAATTATGTTTAAGTTCGCTAAAATTTGGTACATTGGCAAAAGAACAAACTATTTTGAAAATAAATTATTCGATGATATCTAGCAATTTTAAAAATCATACAAGGAAAAGAAATAGAAAACAAGTAATAATTTATTATTTATTGTAAACTCTTTCTTTATAGAAAATACACTTACAAACATGATATTCATACTCTGTCTCACTACTCAAAATTTTCAAATTTTTTTTTTATTATTATTATTATTTTTTTTAACATTTTTTTAAAGCACAGCTTTCTAACAATATTAACATTACTTTGAATTTAACTATACATTAGACATTTCAAAATAATTTTACATAGGACAACTAAATATTTATATCATTGCAAAGTATTGAGCACATTTTACCCAAAATATCTTTTTAAGTTGCAGACTACTTCTTTCAATGATTTTTCAGCATTTACTTTTCAACACCAAGATCATCTAAAATATTCAATATTAGTAGTAAAATAATTATCGTTTGAAATTTTACACAATCAACACGCACAATCAAAAAAGGCAAAATATATGTGCACATGTCGAACAATAATCATGCAATAATATTGGACCTGGATTCAAAAAGTGGTTGATTTCTTATAAGAATCGCAATGAAGCCTGTGAGAAACTTTAAAAACGGCTGAACTTTGAAACTTATTTTTGCTTTTTCATATTGACATGGTGCACAATTTAACAGGGAAGATTTTTTTTAAATTTATGGTCATTAATTTTTTTAATTTGCGTTTAAAACAATTTCTTTTTTCAATTAAAAAAAATTTTTTTTTTGTCGAAACTATTTTAGAGGCGTAAAAGATAATTACAAACAGTTTTTTAATATTGATTCAAAAGTTTTTCAAAAACACCTCAAATTAGTCATTTTTACATAAGATAGAACTTTCGATTAAAAAGCATGTAATATATCGATCTCAAAAATTCCAATGGGTGTTTTTGGGTAAGTTTTTGATGAGACTAGGCCCTCGAATCACCCTGAAAAAGTGGTAAAAGCGGTGGTAAAACCTTTAAGCTTCTAAATAAAGTTAAAACAATGCGAAAACAGATCGTCAGAAGTGAAAAGCCTTCAGAGTCGAAACCAAGAATAAGTGAGTAACACAGAGAGTCAGAAGAAAATTTCAAACAAGTTATAACAAAGGAAAAGGGAATTGTCTAATAGTATAAGAGGAGTAAGACCAGAGAAGATGATCAGAAAATAGAAAGCAGATTTAAAAAAAATTGTGATGAGGTAGATTGAAAACCCCAGATTTTAAAGGATGCTAAAACGGAAAGATATTTCAGAATATTTAGAACGAATGTAAAATCAAAAATTCATCAACTAAATTAGAGTTTTTCAAAATATGAAATGATTTTCACGTTAGTTAGGTCTATGTCGCTTCAGTTCAGAATCTAGGTCAGTTGCAGACAGTATAAACTGTCTGCAACTGACCTTAATTTCTACTTGATAAGAAATATTATGAGAGGTGATTAGATGACAAGCAATAATTTCATTCCTAATATTTAAGGGTTTGATGTTTTTATTTATATGATGTTTATACGTTTTGTCCTTAAGAATTTCGAATTTTTTAATAGTACTCGTCAACTTATCAACACCATAGTGTTTTTTTTAAACCTGGGATTGTTTTTGCAGGCTTAAAAAGAAAACATTGCGTACCGAAATCAAGAAGATCAGAGGTTAGAAACTAAGTATGACGAAAAAAGATACGAGATCTCGAGTTGATCCCTTTATTACTGAAAGAAAGCAAACACCTTGAGAGGAATTTAATATTGAATAACAGAGTTTAGCAAAACGTTCTTGATTAAAAGAAATCAATTACTTGCAATTATGATAGAATTTTAAATTACTTCTGTAACATTGCTTATGCCTAAAGGAGAATTTTTGAGAAGAATCATAGTTTGAGAATTACTGTTATTAGAGAACTGTCCTCAAGATTCGAGGATGTCTGGTCACCTTACACCCCCCTTTTCAACAAAACCTCTCCCCCGCTTGATGCTTACGTACGTAACACTTGACAGACCCCTTATAGTAATTATTTTTATACTAATTCTACGACGCATACCTGTCACCATCTATTTCGAAGGTCACTCTTTCTTTTCTTTTTCGGTATCTTTCTCGTATTTCTTCAGCCATCAGTTTCTGAGCTGGCGATGGTCTTGAAATAGAGTGTCCCTCATCTTCGCTCTCTTCATAGGATGCAGCAGACATGTATCCGGAAGTGTGGGCGGATGTAGAAGGCGAAAAAGAATCCTCTTCTTCCGTGGGTTTTTCGGATATCGACGTCATTGGAGACATTTTTGAGGTATGCATTGTCGTATCCACCTGGAATATAGTGTCGTTTCTTTAAAAGTTAACGCAAATACGTTTTTAATTATTACTGATTGCGCAAGTTCAGTAAAGAGTTGAAATCCTCAAAGTATATGGCGCAAAAATAAGGATTAGTAAAATAGTCGGAAGCAAAAAACGTGATTAAAGCACAGATGAAAGTACATAAAGTCGTGCTCCCAGAAAAGTCCAGAGCTAAAGTTTGGTTCGAACAACATTACAACTACCGACTGCACACTCTGAAATTATGCACAAATTTGACAGGCAAACATCGACAAAATTACTCAAGTTAAAAAACGTAATTTTTATAAGCTCAAGCGAGTTCGTACACCTTTCTTTTATTGAAATATTTTAGTTTGTTCTCGGTTGTACTTAGTCTGACAGCATAAATTTGCCCTTTAGGTCGAATATTGGGCTGTGTCTGACAACATACATTTGCCGTTGCTCTCCTATGTCGGACAGTCCGACATAGTACCGCATTATTAATTTCTGAAGTGAAATCAGTTTTGTTAGTGATTTGTTTAAATTGTGATTTGTTCAAAAATAATTATACCAGGGGAGAGAAGAATTTTTTTTCAAAAAATGAACCTCAATGAATTAAAAGCATAGGGGAGAGTGGGGTCAATTGTAACAATTTTTACTTAACTATTTTTAACTAACAAAAAATCAAATATATTATTAGTATTAATTGACAGACGAGTAAAGTAGACTATCCTCTACTAGAAAAAAAATAAATACCTTATTTTAAATGTTATTATATTAGTTATTAACAATTTTTGACAGTCGTGCACTTGTTACAATTGTCCCCACATGCGGGGTCAATTGTAGCAGTTCATAAATTCAACTAAAACATAGTTAATTATTCATATTATTATAGTTGTGATATATTTTTTTATTGATCAAAATAGTAGTGATATTTTAGGAGTAAAAATAATAATGAGCAGAGACCTAAAGGGTTAAACTTTTAACTTTAAGGGGTTAAAAATTTTAATTTATGCTGTGAAAGGTGACAAATAAAATAATGCACATGCAACATAATATAAATGATATAGGAAACTATTGGTGGTTCTTAAAGAGTTAAGTAATGGTTTGTAAACATAAGATTATTTATTTTCAGCTGTTACAATCGTCCCTTTACTTATTGTTACAATTGTCCCCAAGACGCCATTTCAGCTTCATTTGTTAAAAACAATGCTAGTTAATTAGCAAAACTAATCTTTTTTTTATTGAAATGTTAATTAAGGTGTCCACTTACATATTCGGTTACTAATTTTTATTTGTTTAAACAAAATTACTTTGTTACAATATAATATTCTAATACCAAAAAAAGTACTTGCGTGGCGTGAAAATATCTTTTGTGATGTAACTCTTTCAAAAGTACATAAAAATGGTTGCCATCAGGGGTGTACATGTAGATTTATTAAATACACCTTGTGCGCCACCTAGGAACCAAATCTAGAACCCGACACTCGAAATTTTTGCTCTGTTACAATCGTACCCTGTTACAATTGACCCCACTCTCCCCTACTAAATTTACCTGAAAAACTAAGTTTTCTTTGAAATTTTTACCATTTGCATTTTAGTTTTCATGTAGTACGTGTTTTAACTAAACTTTTTTTTTTACATATATCAATGTATAATTTATTAAGTAAATGCTCGTGTTAAATTTAAAGAAATTCATTACGATAAAAATCTTAGAATTTTAATTACGGCTAATTTAATAATAAAAAAATTCCCTCGTATATAAAAATTAAAGAAAAAAACTAGTAAAATTTTCGCCAAATTTTTTAAATATTTTCTCGCGTAAATGAGTCATTTATCATAATATCAGTGTGTCAAATTTAAAATTGACAAGAAACAAACGAGTAACACCACTGTGATAATTTGAAACAATTTTTTTCCTAATTTGATAATCAAACATTTTGTAGATTATCTATCGTCTGCAATTATGTCAAACATTATAAAGATTTTTAAAAAAATTTCCGGAATTTTTTTTTTATTATTATTCAAAACGAAACCACACTTTGCATTTTATCTTCATATAATAAAGAAGTTTATTTTTTCCTATATAGACCTAGTGGTCTTTACCCTTTAAGAAAATTTATGAATATTAGAACGTTTTCTTACTTCGTCTACTTGTCCTTTAACCTTAAAAGAAGAAAACCCCGTTTGTAGATACTTGTCATAGCTATTTTTTGATTTTGAGTAAGGCTTCATTCTGCCATTCCTAATAGATTTTCTATTGGCTGTTTTATAAAGTTTGCAGCTATCCGATATAACTGGTCCAGAAGCTGGAACCAGTCTTGAAGATAATTTCTTACGAAAATTAGAATTTCTAACAATTATTGACAAATCCCCTCCAGAACGGAAACTGCAGTTCTTTTCTTCAAACCCGCTGTCCGTTAAACGGCTTGACGAAGCTGACTTATCTTTGTCATTCACATCAGGCAAAGTTTCATCCATGTAGATTTCCTTGAAGTCAGTAACTGCAGCGTCAACGTGAATAGCAGAGTTGTCAAGGTTTTCTAATTCTCGGAGAACTTTTGTGTGGTCAGTAGTAGATGTTCGACGAATTTCTGAATGAGGATTTGGAGAATAAATACTTCTTTTGGAAGATAAATCTATCACTCCAAGAGCTGGATCTGGAAGGTCAGAGTTTTCCATGGACGATTGGAGACTAGTTGATTGTTCATCCATGCTTTCACCTTTGGCTCTTTTTATCATTTGTAATCGTCTTGCTGTAGTACCTTGACTCATAGGTGAAAACGTAAGTTTGGCTTTGGTGGGACACTGAGTCAAACTAGAATTAAATTGTAAGTTTGGCGAATAGGTAGATTTTTCCAAGACGCTAGGAGACCATATTCTGACTGGTGTGCCTGGCTTACATTCGCTTTTGTAGGCTACCATTGGTCTGTTACTGGAATCTGGATTTCCACAGGAGTTAATGGATTCATCGTACGAGCGTACTGGAGTTTTAATCAGGGATGTGTGTTTCAGGCGAGGAATAAGTCTAGTTTTAAGAAAATCAGGAGAAACAGGTTCCGCTGAACTTCTGCCAGCGCTAAATTGGAGAGAGCCACTCTTGAGAGAGCCATGTTTTGAATTTTTAATATCGCTTAGTGAAGAACGAGATCGCAGGTGCAAGGGAACTGGAAGATCTGCAGAGCTGTCCGACTCGCTTTCACTCGATGTTGATTCAGAAGACGAGGAAAGTGCAGATTTCAATATTTCTGGATCTGGTTTAGGGAGGTCTGATGTATAAACCCAATCGTATAACTGGTCGTCGTTTGCATTTAAAATCTGAAAGATTAAAATATAATTATCGTTATTTGCGTAACAAGATGAGTTTTACAAGAGTGTTATTGCTAAAACGTAGAAACCAGTTATTCTGCAGATTATCTAGATAATATGCAGATTAATAAAGACGATCTGTCAAAATGACGAAAAATTGTTTTATTTTTTGTATATTAGTTAGGTAATCTGCGAACTAACTAGATAAGTTACACATTACCTAATAGGTATGCATTAAAGGGAAAGTAAGATCTTTGGCATAGCAACGTATTTGTATGCTTGAATTAAAGCAATGTTACTTATTTTTGGTTATCTAAAAATAAGCAAGTTACTAGTTATTACAATCAAACAACTCACACATTAGTTAATAGAATCAGTGATGAATCACTTTAAAAATTTAAATACAAAGAATGAAACTGTTTAAAATACTACAATTAAGGAAATTAACAAAACATTTATTTATTTTCAAAATCTAAGGAACCGAGTCAATTACAATACAACAATCAACAAGAAAGAGAAAAACAAACTTTTGAACTCAATACGAAAACCGCTAATTCACATTGTCGGAGTTAATTGCGGAAAACTCTTCAGTTTGCAATTTAACGGATTATCTTAGTTAATCTGCGGATAGTGCGTATTAACACTAGGTTGCCTAAAGGAAGTCATTTTGACTGATTTTTCATTTGCAAAAATGTACAAATAATAATGCATAAATTAATATATTTTCTTTCCAAGTGAAGTAAATTTTTTTATTGCTAATATTGACTAATAACTTGTTATATAACTGTAAATATGAAAAATATGAAAAATTAAACAAATTTCTTTATACATTAGTTATTCTTTCACATTGCAGTCATTTTGACTGCTTTTGGGCAATATAGATATATACTTAGTTTCAGTCTTTCTAGTGATAAAAGCTTTTGAAACTTTTTTTTTTAGTGGAAACATAATATTTATTCATAGAGCTATCAGAGCAAAAGTCTACACTAATAAAAATGAGTAAGACAAAGCCTACATATTCATTTATAATAATATCGCATTTAACAAAATTCCAGATTTTACAAATAAAATGTTTTTTTTTTTTTTTTTTTTTTTTTTTTTTTTTAAAAAANTTTTTTTTTTTTTTTTTTTTTTTTTTTTTTTTTTTTTTTTTTTTTTGTTGAGACATTGTTATAATATAAATTAGAGTAAACTTTTTTGGAGAGTAGTTACTTTTTCTCGGATTCATCGTTAGAAATTAAATTAGGGGATATTAAGGGAAGAATCGTATTTATATTTATTGCATGGCTAAATCTGAGGTAGTTTTTCTGAGAAAATTCCAAGACGGGCTTGAAGTTTAATTTCTTTTTTAGCTAAAATATTTTTATATTTCTCTATATTAAAAAATCGTAAGGACAGACGCAGACACTGTTTTGGGTTTTTAACTTAACGTAGCATATTGTTTTGCTGCGCAAAAACTAAGTCTTAGGCACACAGAATTGCGAGACATTGTAAAACAATGCGCAGGGAATACGGTAGAATAAAAAAATCTAGTATTCGGCAAAGCAATGTCGTTTCGGCGCAATCAATATTAATTAGTCTTAAAATATATATATATATATTATATTTTTAATCTGATGCACATTGCATGAGATATTAGACTGTTCTTATATTTTTTGAATAGTTTGTAATTTTTTTAATACAGTTAGAATAGCTTCAGAAAATATTTGACTAAACGGTATCTATTCGCATTAAAATAATTTAAAATTAAAAGAGTTTTGTTCCTGACTAAACTCAATTTAAATATATATATATATTTATGAGATCTATTACTAGACTATTACGTTTTTAAAAAAAAATAGTTTTAAAAGAGTGCCTTAGTCAACTTACACTGAAACAAAATAGCCTTAAATAGTTAGAATCTCTGTAAATTTAATTGAAACTTGTTTATAAACTTACATTTCTGAAGTCCAATGTTTTTATAGTTTTGGGTTTTTGTCGGAAACAAATCCCAGTTAAGAAAGCAATTGAAATAACTACGCAAACAATAGGTGAACACACAGACGCAGAATAGGCTAGAAAAGATAAAAGAAAATTATAGAAAACACTTTAAAAAAAGGAATACATTTATTAATTTAAGAAATAATTTATCTTTGCTATAACAACTGAAATAGCAATTTATATTACTGTAGAACCGACTTGTAACATGCCTTCGCATTTAAAGGGACTCAGAATTTAAAAGCGCGAAATGGAATGTTTTGTTTGGTCAGATGTTATAATGTACACACTTTTAGCGAACAATTTTTTCAATTTTTCTCTGAATTAATGAGAGAAATAAGTTTTGATGCCTGGACTAGCATAAGAAATAATGAAAAATAGCATAGTACACTATTGGTGTCACTTAGAAATAGTTTTTTTGTTATTGATAACAGGGCATAATTAACAGGCGAAACTGGCCACAATAGAACTGGCGACTAAATATAAGAGATGACGATTAAAAAAGTCGCCACTCGATCCCTCACTTTTTAGTCTAAAATGCACCCCATGTGTATTTCAATATTTTTATTTTTTTTCTCCAAAAAATATGGAATTATGAATATTTTGAAAATTAATTCATTCCTCGCTTGATTCGTAACATTCTCCATTTTTAGAAATGCCTTGCATTATTAATGTCAGTAGCTTTTTTCGTGGTTTAAAATTTTCAATTTTTGAAAAAGTGGCGACTGTAAAAAATGCTACTGATTATAACGGAGTACCTTCAAGTGACATAGTGCGGGTATCTCGATTCTGATTGGTTGTTGAAACGTGGCATTTGTTTACGTCAGTAACTGTTCTTTCCATTCTATTTCGAGTAAGCAAAGCTCGTCATATCTCGATTCTCTCAAGTGACACATTCTATATTCTTTCACAAAGATTTCAATTCTCTCACCACATATTTCTTACTAACGAGGCCGTGTAGATCATAAACTAATTATACATCAAAGTTGTCGTCTTCACAAAGTTCTAATTTATGTGAAGAAACTTAGCACGTCATTAACATACTATCTTGTTTACAAGCGATCAGCAGGCGCTGAGGTCATAAGTCCCGTGTCTGTATCTTTATCGTCTTCTCGAATTGCAAGTACCCAATGATGCCCACTCGATCCTAATTGGTAGTTGAAACGTGAATTTGTTTACGTTATCAACTGTTCTTTCCATTCATTCTATTTCGAGTAAGCCTGTCAAGTATCAATTCTCTTAAGAGACACATTCTATATTCTTTCACAAAGATTTCAATTCTTTCACTGTATATTTCTTACTTAACACAAAGACATGCGCGAAGCCATGTGGAAAATAAACTAAATATGCATCAAAGTTGCTAGGTACTCAAATAAAAATTTATCACGGTTACAATAAAGTACATTAATAATAATTCTAAGCAAAATGACGCAGACGAGAAAAAAATTATTTTTCCACGAATTCGATGTGCGATACGGCTCTGTATTTTGACTTCATTAAATAACATTCTAACTTATGTGGGGAAACTTACCTCAACTGTAACACGCCATTTTGTTTATAAACGATCAGCTGGCGCTGACGTCATAGGTCACATGTGTAGGTTTCTGTGGTCCTCTTGAAGTGCAAATACCAAATGACTAATTTATAGGCCAATTTATATTTAATACCTAATTTATGATGACTGATTTCGCTCTGTAAGGCGCGACTTTCTGAGAAAAGAAGAATGTTCAGGTTAGCTCAATGTCTTATTTGCAGAAGATGCGGAAGAATTTTGAGGAGGTTTGATGAGGTGTTTAAATGGTAGCGGAAACTTCATTTTGGGGCCGTTCAAACATTATGCAAGCATATTTTTTGGCAATTTTGGACCCCCTTGTCAGCAAAATAAGCAAAATCCTCCTCCCTAGTTTATATAAGAAAGTTACAACCAACCCCTCTGGTTTTAGCTTTAACTGATTTTTGCTGTAGTAGGGTAAACTAACCAGTGAAGGAACACTTAAGCCTCGCTTGCCTCTTAAAAAATCATATTAATTTCAAAATTCGTAATTTTAGTTAAATGACAGTGTCAACATATTTGTTACTAATTGCAAATTATGTAAAAAAATTGTAGAGAACTTACATAATATTGTTTTAAAGTTTTGGAGGTTCAAATAACAAGTAGTAAGAAGACCAAGTAAAGGAACAGCTCTTACTAGTGAAGGAACACAAAATTTCCCAGTAAAGCAACACTTAATTTTGGTTATTTTTTAATGCTCTTTATGAATTTATATGCCATACAAGTATCTAAAAACAAGCATATTCTTGAAATTATAACATACAAATACTTGGAAAATGTTAACTTTTTTTTGTAATCATGAATTGAAAGGGAAAGTGTCAACATATTAACACATACTGTTCATTCACTAGGAAAACTATGCCCAGTAAAGGAACATGCCTGTTCCTTCACTGGTTAGAAGTTGTTTTTTGTATTTTTAACATACTTTTGATGCAAAACATCACTAAAGGTACAAGAAAATTAAAGCTTTTCTTTCATTAACTTAGAAAGAACCCAGTAAAGGAACACTTGTTCCCTCACTGGTTTTTCATCGTTTGGTGATCCAGTGAATAAAGTTATCTCAGTACATGATTATGCTAGGCTATGATGCTTAAAAAAAGTAAAACGTAACTACAATAACTATATTTTGAATTCTTATTTTCACATTGAGAAAAATAAACTATTACATGCATTTAATTCCACTTCAAACATATAAATACAAACACTCACCTTATAATTTTTTCAAAGAAAGAAGGTATTGCAGAGATAATAACAAATTAAAAATTTTTTTCAGAGAAGTCTGTGACCAGGTAATCCAAAACATTGCTAGATGACTTCCTATTGTTTGGCAGTAAGCTATTGTTACCAATCAATCTGAACTTTCAAATTCTTATTTTTAATCAATATATATGAAATGTTCCTTCACTGGTTGGTTTACCCTAATCTAGTTTTAGGAATAAATTCAAATAAAGAACTTTAACATTAGACCTAAAGTTAACGTTTTAATTCATGGTATAAAACTTTTGATGTAGAATATTCTTTGAGAATCTTGTGTTCAAAACTATAGCCCCCTGAAATTCTTTGAAGAATTTTCTTCTTCCGAAATTCAATTTTTTCACATGCACTTTTTTGTTGCGTTTTTCGTTTGCGTTTTAAGAAAATTTTGAAAATAAGAGGATTTTAATGTCATAACGCACTTCAACTACTCCTTTTCAGTAAAAATAAGCAAATCACAAACCCCCTCCTCTACGTTAGGTGCTTACGTAATGTCACACGTAAGAAAAGTTTTATCCATGCACCTAAATTTCTTATTCAGCTGCTTAAAATATCGGAACGGAAAGATTCATCAGAAAAAGACAGAATTTAAATGTATACAAATTTTAAAAAACATTTTGAACAGAGCAATTTGAAATTTAAAAAAACGAAATTGGAATGAAATCGGTCGAATAGTTTCTGATATAACATTTCAAAAAAATAATATTTTTGAATTTCCCTTTCTCTAGACTTTTTCAACAGGTTTAATTTCGATCATAATACACAGTTTAAATCTTTCTATTTTACAATTAAATTTTTTCATTTCTTATCGTAAATAAAATAAATTAAAAATTATCTTTATATGGATTGATTATTTATTTGTTGAAAGAATAAATTTTATTAACTTTTGATAAATGAATGTTATAATTTTCGATTCATTTACGAATTAGACAAATGCCCAAACAGTTAAATAAACCTTAAAGGGACTAAATTTTCGACCCGTTTTCTTGATTTTTTAGATTGAAAAATTAGATATGCGGAATTTACTGATAATTAAAATAGTTCCAGCTTACCATAAGCAAGAATTTCATCTTTGACTCCAAGGTTTTCCAGGTTAATGGCTAGGAGACTATTGCTTTCACCAATAATCAGCATCGTGGCGGTTGTTGAGTTTAGCAATAATATCGAGCCCACCAAACTTGCTAGGAACTTCCTCTAAAATGAATTTTTTAAAATTGTATATTAAAAACCAAATTTTTTTAAAAAAATATATTCTATTTTTTTATTATACAATTTTTTTTTCTCTCACAAATTTCTGAGGGCAACAATATTGATAGAAATTTTATACCCCTTCTAGTCCAGTTAACTTTTCCACGTAAATAGATCGTTACTGCTCTATCTCCAACTGGCCAATAAGGACTTCACTCTTGAGCAGTTTGGATCTAGAGTGTCCAGGAATGTAAAACCTCAATTTTTTGCAAACAAAATAGACGTCGCACGATTACACGATTTCCCTACTCTCTACACTTTTCTCGTTTATGTTACCATAGTTTCAGAAATTTTTTTCCTATGACAGTACATTTCAGTAAGAAATTAGAATACTGGCTTGGGGAAAAAGTAGATTTTTCGTAACTATGGTTACGGAGAGGGGAAAAGTGTAGAGGGTGATGGATTCGTGTAATATTGAGACGAACGACCGTTCTAATTCCTAAAGTATAAGTAGCATTGAAAAGCACGTAATTATTCATTAAAATTTAAAATTCATTTTTTAAAAAAAATAAATAATTTAACTGTATTTAAAATGTAGATGTTGCCGAATATGTATTGTCTGTTAATCTATTTTAATTCAAAAATTCTTTTGAAAGTAAGTTCATGCTATTTATTATTATTTTTTTTTTAAAGTCAAACTACGGAAAAAAAGATTCAAGATTACTAACGACAGCAGGGGAAAAAGTATAATTAAAAGAAAGTCCGCAGCTGACAATGGGTCATAAAGAGTCTATTTCGGCTAATACAATACATATAAAATTTTAACAATTATAAACAAGTAAAACTATGTATTTACTATAAAATAAATGAATAAAGCTATGTGTTTATTATTTTTAGTAAGTTCAAGTAATTAGCTTTGATAATCTTCAAAAGCAAGTTTTAAAAGAATAAAATGAAAGCAAAATGACGCACAAATGACAAATCACAATTGAGAAAGGCAGAACGGAAAAATGTATTGTTTAATTAAACTTCCAAATATTTCCTCCGATAATCAAACAAATTTTGAGGTTTTCAATCTCTCCTCCTTAAGTTTTGATTCTTTATATTATGGCAGTATTTATTTCTGCCTCGCTGAAATATTAATTTGTAACCCCTAATGCAGTGTTGCCAACTTTTTATGCTTTCTGAGAAAATTTTCTCTAGTAATAAGAAAGTTTTTAATTGACAATTTTTTGGTTACAAAATTTGATTTTTTAAGTTATTTTCCTTAGTAATAGAACCGAATGGTTAACAGTTATTTTTCTTATCAATACGTGTGAATAATTTACAAGTTAAAATAAAAAGCCACTTCATTAAAAATTCTCGCTTTTAAAATGATGACGAAATGAACCAAAATTCTGAAAGCTGTAGTCTTTGTTTATCAATCTATGAAGTATTTTGCTAAAAGCGTAATAGTTGACAGCTTGCTAATGTGCATCAATATATCTATATAATTTTTTGAGAAGGATTTTATTATATACATACACACTTAAAAAATGTAAACGAGAAAGAGAAATGTAAGTAATAATAATATTTGCTTTGTTATTATAATTTGGTACTTGTAATTCAAGAAGAAGTGAAGAGGTTAAGCCTAACCATATGATTTCAATCAAATTTAATTGGATATCTGTAAGCGACGTCATGCGTATACTTGAAACTGATTGGCTTCTGAATCGACAAATGACACGATTTTCCAATCATGACGTCACTTCCAGGTGTGCAAATGATATTTGCTGACAATATAAGAACATATTGCATGGCAAGCATAAATTACTAATTTTGGAATGAATCAATGAATTCATATTACACATTACTGGTATAAAATTCAAATAAAAAAACTCACACGATTCGAATGCTTGTTTGAATTTTTGTTTATTCTCTTCCAGACAGTTGACGCTATTCCAAGAAGTATACCAACTGTTATGTTCTAAAAGTAAATACACAAGTTTTAAAACGAACTTATTGGATCATTTTGAGAATAACTAAGAGGTATCTTAGCAAAATAGTTCGTATAAAAAATTGTTAACAGCGCGCAAAATAAAAACTGAACACAATACCTTTTCAGCGAATAAATGGATTTTTGGGTACTAAGAATCAAGCTTAATGATTCGACGGGATAACATAAATATACTTATTTATGATAGACTTAAGAGTAATAAAAATCAGATAAAAGCCCACTTTCTCGAATAACTTTTTATTTTTGACGAATTTGAATTCTTGACCAGTGATTCCAAATTTTTTTTCAAACTATGATCTTCTAATGGGAATCAGATTTTTAGATCAAGTTTATTTAAGATAGATAGGTAGATATTTTATTTACGTCGCACTAGAGCGGCGCAATGGGCTATTGGCGACGGTCTGGGAAACCTCCCTGAGGATGATCTGAAGACATGCTATCGCAATATTGATCATCTGCAGGGGGGGGGCACCCCTGCTTTGGTAGCCCGATGATCTGCACGCGAAGTCGAGCACTTTACGGTAGAACAGTTTAACGAAGACCGATACCGCGCATCCTCGGTTCCTACGCAGGCTGACCAGAGTGGTCACCCATCCGCTTACTGACCACATCCAGTGACTTCTGTGTTTTACTGGGAACCTTGTCTGTGCGATCAGTCCTTTGCAGGACTGTTTATTTAAGAATTCTGAACACATAAATCAAAGAAAGAAATCTTTGAAATTAGTCAATGTGAAGAGCGAAATTTTTTCATAATCTCATCAATAATTATCTTAAAATTAGGTTTTATGACTGGCAACGGAATTTGTTGGTCTGAAGCGGCAATTAGAAGAGTTTCGAAACTGTTTTTGGTCTATACGTAAGCTTAAAATTATTACAAAAAACCTAAGTTTTTGTTGGAAGGAAAACAAAGAATTTATGAGAACGTTAAGAGAAATAATTTACATTATTTTTGAATTTGGTTATTTTATTCTGAATAAAAAATTCGAAAGAGAATGCCTAATGCAAATTTTTATGAATGCATAAACCTTTTCATAATTTATTAGAATTTTAAAAATGTTTTGCTTTTTATGATCGTATTTAGTAAAAATAATCGTATAGTTTTGTAAAAAGAACCGAAAGATCATCAATGAGTTATTAATTGGATATAAATATAATTACAGGTTTTGAAATTTTTTTCTGGTAAAAGAAGTTCTAACACTCGGAATTTTTGTAACCCTTTCACGGAACCAAAGGGTTCCGCTTAACCTCTGATTTTTTTTTTAGAACCTAATATCGGGAACAGGCAAAATGTGGAAAATTTGATTCCATTTGTTTCGTTAAAACTGGTTTAATAAAAATAATTTTATTTTACCAGATAGCGATTGAATTTTTTTATGTTAAGATAACAAACTTCATTTTAAATTATGTTATTTTAAATAATTATCCAAAATCCGGCAAAAAATTACGTTTTTTTAAATAAAAAATTTTTTTAAAAATTTCATTACTCAGAAACGAGTCGATCGATTTCGTTTAAATTTAGTATATTTTCTTTTAAGACTACTTTCAAATGAAGTAAGAATTATGTTTCAAATTTATAAAAAACAAAATCTTAAAAAAACAAATAGCATTTTGCAAGAAACTATCATTTGATAAATAAAAATAGAATTTTGGGCAATTTTTTTTTTTTTTTGATTCACCCAAATACTTTTAGAGCAAAATATGCAATGATTTAACATTAAAAGATCCAAACTTTCGACCAGTCTTAGTTATTTGGACCCTATTTTCCATTTCACAGTCACCACCCCTTATTTTGTGAGAAAAATTTTAATATCTTGTGCTAATTTACAAATTTACTTGAGTGCAGTAAGACCGAAAAATTTTTTTAAAAAAAAGAAAGAAATTGATGTGTAGTTCTGAAAAAGTAATTAAAAAAATTAAGTGTAATTTCTTTCATTGATCCTTAAGAGCACTCTATATCGCTGGTGAAACTTTTTATTTTAAATTCTGTTTTACCTCCATTGGTAACTTTATATTTTAAGTAAAGATATAAAGTGTATTCAGGTAAACTTACAATAAACAATTCAAATGCTGGAAAAGGTGTTTTCAATGTACCAAAACGCAAATAAATTATAGCAGGATTAATCAGGATCACGCAGTGTGGAAGTATTCTAGAAATATTTTGTTTGCATTTTTTTTAAAAAATTCAGCATTTGAAATTTGTCCTTTATTTAGTTTAAATGAACTCGCTTTTTTTTTCTCTTTAAAATTTTCGATTGACAATTGGTAAACCAATTTTCCATAAGGGTTTTCTTCGTCTGAAAAACTGGGCAGAAAAAATCACGAAAAAGTATTTAAACTTGCAATAACTATGAAATAAATTAAAAATTTTAAAACAAAATTCGCTTTCTGTTCGCAAATAAAAATGAAGCTTTCAGCACGCCAGAGTTTAACTCAGCAGTTGCGTTCTAACTGGTACAGATCGACAAAACAAGGTTCCCCCCTTACCACAAATTTAGCAATTAATAATTCTGGAACTAATTGTCGAATGTTAAACCTGCTTTAGTTCATCATTTCTTATAGTTTTCGCGCAGCAGAACAAAAGGCAACGTAAGAAAAAAGAAAGTGAAAAAAACTAAATAATTCTTGAACTAATTGTCGAATGCTAAACCTGTTTTAGTCCATCATTTCTTATAATTCTGACGTAGCTAAACACAAGGTAACTTAAGAAAGAAAAAAAAAAATCGCGAGAAAAGCATTTTAAATTACAATAATTTTTAAGCAAGTTAAAATTAAAAAAAAAATTTGAGTTAAGTTCATATACAAAACTGTCTTTTTCAGCTCGTTAAATTTAAACTTTGTAGAGTCGTTATTCCTGAGAAATTAAATAGATTTTTGAGAAAAAATTTGAAAGCCTGAATGGTATATTGTGGGTAATAGCACAAAAAAAATGTTGAAAATCGGGATATGATGGACCTGATTTAGAGAAAAATCAAAATTTGAGCTATAAATAAGATTAACTCAAGTAACGAAGAATAAATCAATTTGGTTGACCGAAGATCGTGGACTTTGTACTTGTCTGGAAAAAGTAAACTATCTGAGGTGACCGTAAAAACTTGGCAGAATAAAATCTTGTTCATTAGCTGCATTTCATAACGTGTTTAAGAAACCTGACAAAACATGTAATTGCAATAATATCACTTAAAATTTTCGTCCTATAACTCTTCGAAATTTGCAAATGTTTTTAATCTTTCTTTCGTGACACATCGATTTAGAAAACTGATCCTATTATAATTATCATTCAAAATAAAGTTAAAATAATTCGAAAAAAACTTAAATTATAAAATAATAATTAATAACTTACACATAAGGCAGACAAAATATTGGGCCCAAACAGCAAATAGGCATACTTTGATTTCAAGAGAACGATAGCAGCTATTACTTGTACAATTCCAACAGATATGAAGACTGCTGCAGCGGCCAAACGCCCGCACGCTCTAGGACAACACCTCGCCATTTATTAAAACAAATCATGAATATTCAAAAATTAATAGTAAACTTTGCTTGCGGACCAGCACAAGCTCAGAAATTAATCCTCCAGATAGTTAATTTATGCTTAATTAGTAATTTCTACACGATTTCTTTGTTTACAATTTACACTTGAAGTTTGTTCAATACACAAGGAATTCAACATAACGGTTGTAATTAAAATCCTGATCGTCTATAGGTTATAGAATCGCACGCATTGAAACTACTTCCCATTTAGCAGCAACATCGGATACGTCATTTTGGTTAAATACAATTAGGCCGAAACTGCCGAGAGGTTAAGACCCTAGATAACGACTCAGGTTCGGGCTAGGAAAAAATCTCATCACTAAAAAAAGAACAGCAAAAAAGCACTTGATTGAAATATGGTCGACATCTTAACAGCTATACATCTGTATACTGCTCGCTTGATGAAGTTGAAGCATTGAGGTATAGGAATATGATAGATGCATTCATTTACGCCGCACTAGAGCTGCACAATGGACTATTGGTGACTGTCTGGGAAACATCCCTGTGGACGATCCGGAGACAATATACATACGTCACATCCACCCCGTTTTACTGGGAGGACACATTCACACACCAAACATCCGCAAATCGAAATTGAACCATAGCAGGTTCAATCTTTGATCCAGTACCTCCAGAGGTAATGATTTTTTATGGGAACTTGGAGGACTTTGAGACACCGACAGATTCAGCGTGCTCCAGTCACCAATTTGTACACGGGGAGCCTTCGGTCAGCAAGAATCGAGCTCACGACCTTCAGCCATGGGCCCAACGACCTATCAGACTGGCTATTCCGACCCCAGGAGTATGATATAATAGGACAGTGGTTCGTACCTCGATTTCATCAAAAAAATCAACGTTTACACAAACAGTAGTGATAGTACTTTACTTAAATCACACCAGAGCTACGCAACAGGCTATAGGTCCAGGGATCAGCCCTGAGGATAATCCGAAAATATGCCATCACACTTTTGATCATCTGCAGAAGGGATGGTTCCAAAGCTTTAGTAGCCCAACGAACTCCGAGCGAGGTCGAGCAGTTTATGGTAGAACAGTTAAAATGGAACCGATAGCATGCACCCTCGATCCTTTCGCAAGCCGATCAAAGTGGTCACCCACCCGCTCTCTGACAGTGAGGATTGACTTTGGAGATCTATTGAGACTATATCTTATGATTACTCAGTCCATTGTAAGACGCTTACACAAATAATACAGTTGTATAAATAGAAACTATTAAGTCCATATGAGCGGAGCAGTCCAAAAACTCCGACATTGCCCAACAGAAACTCCAAGAAAAACTGATGGAAATAGAAATCTGGTGTCTAGACTGGAAGTTTAAAGTATNGGCCGAAACTGCCGAGAGGTTAAGACCCTAGATAACGACTCAGGTTCGGGCTAGGAAAAAATCTCATCACTAAAAAAAGAACAGCAAAAAAGCACTTGATTGAAATATGGTCGACATCTTAACAGCTATGCATCTGTATACTGCTCGCTTGATGAAGTTGAAGCATTGAGGTATAGGAATAAGATAGGTAGATGCATTCATTTACGCCGCACTAGAGCTGCACAATGGACCATTGGTGACTGTCTGGGAAACTTCCCTGTGGATGATCCGGAGACAATATACATACGTCACATCTATCCCGTTTTACAGGGAGGACACATTCATACACCAACAAATCGCTCTCAAATCGTAATTTGGCCCTGAACTATAGCAGATTCAATTTCTGATCCAGTACCTCGAAAGGTAATGACTTTTTTATGGGAACTTGGAGGACTTTGAGACCCCGACAGATTCAGCGTGCTCCAGTCACCATTTTGTACACGGGGAGCCTTCGGTCAGCAAGAATCGAACTCACGACCATCAACCATGGGCCCAACGACCTATCAGACTGACTATTTCGGCCCCAGGAGTATGATATAATGACAGTGGTTCGTATCTCGATTTCATAAAAAAAATCAACGTTTACACAAACAGTAGTGATAGTACTTTACTTAAATCACACCAGAGCTACGCAACAGGCTATAGGTAACTATCCGAGGATTAGCCCTGAGGATAATTCGAAAATAAGACATCACAATTTTGATCATCTGCAGAAGGGATGGTTCTAAAGCTTTAGTAGCCTAACGAACTTCGAGCAGTTTATGGTAGAAAAGTTAAAATAGAACCGATAGCGCGCACCCTCGATCCTTTCGCAAGCCGATCAAAGTGGTCACCCACCCGCTCTCTGCCAGTGAGGATTGACTTCGGAAATCTACTGAGACTATATCTTATGATCAGTCAGTCCACTGTAGGACGCTTACACAAATAACACAATAGTTGTACAAATAGAAACTATTAAGATCAGATGAGCGGAGTTCAAAAACTCCAACATTGTCCTACAAAAACTCCTAGGAAAGCTGAAGGAAACGGAAACCTGGTGTCTAGATTGGAAGTTTAAAGTTAACCACAACTACTAATTATCCAGCATAAAAGTAAATCCTCCCAAAAAACCAAGCTGTTCTCTTTCTTTGATGAAACTATCCCCATTGTCTAAACTAAGGAGCGAAATATCTTGGTTTAGTCATTAACAGTAAACTCAGTTTTAAAGTTCATGTCAAATCAACTACCAATGAAGCACAAGCAACCAGTCAGAAATTACAAATTCTTCATCAAAACTCGAGACTTAAACGCTTACTCTACATTTCAATGATACGTTCTATCCTGTCCCGCAGTGGACTGATCATTAAGAAACGGTTCCCAGCAGATCACCGAAGTCAAGCATCACTGGCTGCGGTCAGTGTGCGGGTGGGTGACCCACTCGGATCAGTCTGTGTAGGGACCGAGGGTGTGCGGTATTGGTCCTCGTTAAACTGTGCTACAGTAAAGTGCTCGACTTCGCACGCAGGTCGTTGGGCTACTTTCTAATATTAAAATATATTAATATTAGAAATAATCTACGGCTATAAAAAGTAAATTCGGCAATAAAAATGTAAATATGTAACAAAATTTAGTTAAACATACTGACTCGACTTCACTGTGCAAGAAAATTCGTAGCGCAGCAAAAAATTTCGAAATAAATAAATAAATAAAATGATGGAAAAAAAAGTGACTGCTGTTATAGTGCGGATTTCAGGAGAACTCTTCAAGGCACCCGTCTCGCGTCGTGGTGGGTACTATGGTTACGAGGAAAGGTCACTTCGAATAGGGGTGTGGGGTGAATAGTTTGATCTTAGGGTAGGCTGTCGTGAGTAAACCAATCGACAACTTCTTTCCTCCATTTCACCCCCATTAGAAATGTGCTCTCGCTTGTCCATAGCAGCAGACAACCCCAGACTATAAGTCTGGAGGAGTTCTCACAGCAGCACTATATTTAAGTCACAACTTTTTTTCTTCTTTCTTTTTTGTTGTTGTTGACATGCAGGTTTATTTTCAGGTGTAAAGGAAAGTGAATAATGGGTAATTTAAACATATTACAGTCGGATACCACTATAATGAACCGCTTGTGGATGCAACAATGAGTCCCCTTATAAATAGCATATCCAAACTCTATAAAAAAATTATTTTTGCATATTGCAATAGTATTGTTAATAATAGTGAATTCAATAGCTCATAATTTGCTTTATAAATATGTGGACTATTGCTAAATATGTAGAGTCTCTCTACAACATAGATTCTTTTCAGCAAATTTTTTTTCTTTAGCAAAATTTTTAATAGGAACATTGAAAATATTTTCTATATAATGAATGTATCTGAGTGCAAACAACACATCGACTCTCTTTTTTGATCTGGAAGAGAGGTAGTCTTCCAGTGGAACCCTGGCCATTGAGGCATCTACGGAAATGAACGGGCTGCCATGTTGGCTAGAGAGGCTTCAGCATTGCATCCACCTTCTCATCCAGTTCCTCTTAGAAATGCAAGGTGGCTTCTTAAGAGCAAATTCAGACACGGAGCAATATCTGCTTTTAGGGTTGCTGTTGTTCATTTACGTCGCACTAGAGCTGCGCAATGGGCTATTGGCGACGGTCTGGGAAACATCCCTCAAGATGATCCGAAGACATGCCATCACAACTTTGATCCTCTGCGGAGGGGATGGCATCCCCGCTTCGGTAGCCCGACGACCTGCACGCGAAGTCGAGCACTTTACGGTAGAACAGTTTAACGAGGACCAATACCGCACACCCTCGGTCCCTACGCAGGCTGATCCAAGTGGTCACCCACCCTGCTCTTAGGGGCTAGCCTTCTTGATGGCCAGCAGCGCTCTCATCTTTCCCTCCTTCCTAGGGTCGAGGGAGTTGATTGTCTTAGAATAATTACTGGACATGACTACTTGCACGCCCATCTATTTAAAGTTAACCTGGTCAATTCATCTCTTTGTGCGCTCTGTAACACTTCGCCTATGACTGGGGAGCATCTATTTGATTGCCCCTCTCTTCTTGACATTCTTTCCTGTGACGACTTTCGTGCCCTCTCACCTTCTGGAGCTACTTCACTGTCGTATTGGACTGAAAGACGCCTTATGTCTGAGAAGACGATAGCGGGCCTAATTTAAAATATATATATATATATATAATGAATGTTTTTAGATAAAATGTTGTACCGAATTTACATTAAAGTTGCACCTAAAACCACATCAATGATTGTTAGATAGGTTTCAATATATGTTTAAATTAATTAAGTATTTATGATGATCAAGAACATTTTAATTGAAATTTATTAAATAAAGAAGAATAAGAATGATATGTTTTTGTAAAATTAGTAATTTTATTTGGCAAAATGGGAATTTCGACACAAAAATCTAAGTTTGCGGTGCCCCTGGAAAAGTCTCATTTTAAACACTCTTTTATAATATCCATTCATTTTTAATCTAAAGTCATAATTTTCATCTGGTTTTTTGAACTTATCACATTTACAAAAATTTTGCCACATTTATTCCAATATCTTCACAAAGGAAATTTGAGTTCACTATAATCGAAGTACCCATTTCTTAGTTGTCCACTATAAGTGTACGAAATAAGTTTCATTAAATAATAGTTTAGATAGGAACACTAAGAAAGTTCAGTACAACAGTGTTTACATTATCTTGGGTTCATTATAGCAGAGTATCAGGACCCCGCCAATTTTATCGAGCATCCATATCCAGGTAACACACATTATCAACCACATTCAGATTAAAATTAACCTTAAAACGATTCACAATAACAGTTGAAGTTTTGGAAATGCATCAATATATGAGTTCTTAAAAATCAAATTGAAATAACTTGTTTAGGCCCGACATATTATATACTTATGCAGAATTTAAAATCAGGGAAAACTCTATAAAGTGGATATCTTAGGGAAAGAAAAATATGTTCGCTATAGAAATGTTTTGTTTAGGAGAAAAACATGCAAATTCAGAAATCTATAATGCTGAAAGTTATTTTATCTAAATTAACATGATGGATGAATAGATAATTTGAAATCTGTAAATACATTGATATTTAAATTAAATACAAAAACTCATAATTAATAAAATGCAAAAATAACTGGAGATAAATACAATATATTTGTCTTATTTTCATTCTAAAATTGCTTTCAACAAATGAGATTATGCAATAACATGTTTTTATTATTAGGGTTTGTAAACGAAGCATTTTATAGAAGTATAATGGACAATGATTGCAAGCAAACAGAAATATTTTCTTATAAATGTCTTTAATTATTCTAATGCTTTAACTAATTTAGATATCATTGAAGATTAATTAGAAACTTTTTCTAAACATGTTTTTATCCATATAAACGAGCAGACATTTTTTTAGAGCTATATTTTATTAAAATATTTGTTCCATAGAAAGTTATGCCATTTTTATATTGTTTTGCATAAATGTAATAATACTCAGCTGGGTAATAAACTAAAATTTTACCAGGTTTGCACAACTCCTTAATTGTAGTCAAACATGTACTGCTAGGCATTATTTTTTTCTTACACGAGGCGCTTCAAAAAATTTCTAAGCTGAAATCAATGTTCAATTTCAAATAGAATATGAGAAAATTTGCTGTCGAACAGTTATGCGAATTAAAGGTGTCGTGTCACTACTGTCTACATGAATGTGCTTAAAATGCAAAGGTTTGCATATCCCAACATGTTTCATTTGTCATGAAAATTTCAAATGCGTGGTGTACTATTTAATGACTAGTGGTATGTGTGTGTTTGTATATATACACACACACACATATAGTAATAAATAATATCAAATCAATTATAATATTAATACAATATTTGTGCAGACTGAAAAGAATAACAGGAAACAGTTGTGTAGCTTTAAATAATGGTCATTTAAAAATTATTTCGGACAATCTGATAACATGAAAAAAGTGTTTTATGAATGTTTTTGCAAAGATTGGAAGAAACTCAGGCTAAAAATTTAAATACTAACTCAGTTCATTTTCACATGTCATTTCAAAACATAAGCTTGATCTAAAAACCATCTAAGGAAGTATAATATCACCTAATTATTAATATGAGAAATAATTTAACATTATATTTATAATGCAAAGCATTAAGTAGTTAACTAAATTCACACCATGATTATTGTCTTTTTTCTTTATTGGTCAATATGCAAATTTGAAGTTATTAACATATATTAAGTAATGTGCAACACAAACAATGGAATAAAATGTATAAAAAATTCTAAAAAACAGTATAACATTTTTTCAAAAATGCATTATGTTCTTGTCTTTGGCAGTAGAAAAAATATAATATTTAATAACAATGGTCCTTTTTAAGCTGGAAGATGAATGTTTACAGCTTTCAAGGCATCCTCAGCCCATCTGGGATATTCTTTAGAAGGATACATTTGCAGCATAAAATCCTCAATAAATTTAGGAAACTTGTCTTCAAGAATACTTTCTCGGATCGACTTCATTAAATTCATCTACAAAGGATATCAAAATATATAGTATCCAAGTTTATTTCACTTCACCAAAAGTTACAGTACACAAAATTTACTAGCATTGTTTCATAAAAAAGAATATTGTATAACTAATAAATACAGCATTAATTTGTTTTGTTTTACCTTTTTGTATTACATTAGAAGTTAAAACAGAAAAGATTTTTTAAAAGTTTGCCCACCATTTCTTCAATACTAAACAAACCATTTTAAGAATTCGTTCAAAACGTTGAAAACCACAAGAAGAAGAAAAAGAAAACTAATCATAACAAAAACTTTTAGTATAGTTCTAGGCCATCTTGATAGGGTGGTCACTTCTTTTTTAAAACTTTTACACAAAAGAATTTAGATAAATAAGTTTCAGTAAGTACTTTATAAGTGGGTTATAAAGTATCTAGGTTAAATAGGTCATATAACCAACACTCATATTTAATTTCTAGAAAAAATTCCATAAGTTTTCGAATTATCCACAAATAATCTCAATTGAGATTACTATAAAAAAATCTTATTTAGGATGGAACAATTTAATCATTATTTAAATGAGTACTTAACAGCAGCAGTACAACAGCTCAAGAAGGGGGGGAGGGCTTCACCTTCTCTGAAAAATTTATCTGTATCATTCTCAATATTGATAGTTGCTTAACAGTTCAATATCCTGATAGTTTTAAAATCTGCACCTGAATTCAATCATCAAAGTTTTAGATGTCATTTAGCTAGAAAGGTTAGATTAGATATGTACGATCATAAAAAGTTTAAAATAGAACAGAATTTAAATTAAAAAAATAAACTACTTTTGAAATAGTTCATTGTAAATGCCCAAATCACTAAGAATCCATCTTTTCAAAGTTTGAAATACTACTATTTTATGAAAACAATTATGTTATGTTAATGGCTTTGTAACTTTGTAACAAAGTTTTATAAGTATTTGATGATCTTACATTTCTTTTCCAAAGCAGACTGATGATTTCATTAAAGAAAAATTAAGGATTTTAGATAGTAGTGTTCAAAAGAGATGTAACCACCACCTTCATAATTTCAGATCGAACTCATAATTCTTACTCTTTTGATCAGCTAGTTCACCAACATCCATAAACTTGTAATTGGAAAACACTGAGTGGCAATCAAATGTTTTAACTGTTTTGTGGATTCTTCTGCTGGTAGTTGTTTTTGTCACTTATTCGGTTGTGTAAAGCAAAGATATGTCTTTCCAGAATGTACATAATAGTTTGTGGATAATAATGTTTTGAAAAACCTTTTGAGTTTCTATAGCATTGTTAAATTTACAGCTCTTTAACTCTTTTGGGCCCGGTGGCCGAGTGGTAGTGCTTTGCGCTCCCGTGCCACAGGATCTTCGAGCCGGGAATTAAACACTGGAGGGTTTCGCATTCGGCTGTCCATCTAACCGGAAGATCTGCTCTTGCATCCCAGAGCCCAAGGTGAAGAAAACTGAGATGGGCACAGTAGGCCTGGGTCCTCTATGGGCGCGGCACTGAGTTTAGTTTAACTCTTTAGGGAAGAACTTACAGTGAATGCTGAAAGTTCAACAAGAGGGGATGTAACTGATCGTTTTCCCACTTATTTTAATTTTGCCGTGTTTGCCACAGTAAAGGTCTAAATTTAAAACATACTATAGTTAGGATATCATTTCCATTTTCAAACCTCTTTTAGCAGGTTTCAGGGACATATATTGAATTATGCCAAGTCTTCCTTTATATTTTATCATAGCATGGATGAATTCTTGTATGGTGCAAAATTAAGTTCTCAGTTTTCCTTTTCTCGATATGACAGAATCAAAAATATAATTTAGCAGTAAAAAGTGATTATAAAATGCTTATTTTCAACAAATAGTAACAGTAATTATCAACGACCGTCTAAATAAAGTACTTAAATAAATAAGTTAAAAAGTCACTATTTTTCTTTGAACATCTAGTTCGTCAGAATGTAAGAATAAACTAACAAAGCTTAAAAATTATTGATTTATCATCCTAAAAAAGACGATAAAAATCAGAGCATTAAAGAACTTCAAATCAAAGCATTTTAAAGTTGTTCAATTCTACCCCCACCAAAACAAAAAAAAAAAAAAAAATGCCATAAAATTATACCTGATAGGTAATATTATGAGTAGTTATTAGATGACAAGCAACAGTTTCTTTTCTAATTGTTTCATAAATGTAGGCTCTACAATATCGTACACACGTAGGACACTTGCAATTTTCATCTATAGGTCTAAAATCTTTAGAGAATTCCTTATGTTTCAAATTTATTTCTCCACCAGGGACTAGGGCTGTTCCAAACCTCTGAAATTTTCAAATTAAAAATAATAAAAGAATAATTAATCACATTTATAGCATCATATTTATAATACAGTAGAACCTAGACCCTTTATTTATCAAGGGACCATTCATTAAGATTGATAGATACAAGGAAATAATGACTTTAAAATGTATGAAAGGTAATAGAGAAATAATGGACTGGAAAATTAACTAATTTACAATGAGTATTGAAGATTTTAATTGGAAAAAAATATATATATACTTATGGCAAAAATATTTAGGATTCAGAAGAAAGATGAATAACCACATTTATTTAAACTATTTGGAAATTTTGGTTAGAATACATTCAATTTTTAGCACAAACAGTAATTTTCAACATTTGCAACAGATTGCTGCCTACTTTTTGTATGTAAGTCCGCATGGAATATAGAAAGTTATTCCCCGTTTCAAAGGTTTTTAGGTCTTCTGCAAATGTTGTGGTTCTACTTCACGATGTTCACATGACTTGCGGCTTCTTCAGCTCCAACCACCATTTCAATGAATTGACAACCCCACAAATTTCAAGATCTTTTATCAACTGGTACAGGTATGAGGCATTTTCTCATAACTGTAACAAATCCTTATTTTCTCCATCTTTAGCATCAAAAGTAGCAGTTTTTCTTCTCAAAACGAAATATCTTCAATATCTTTTTTTAATGCAGGCAGAATTTCTGTGTGACAGACGCAGGAGTCTGCTAGTTTCAAAAATTGGTGACGAAACCATTAAAGCAATGTGATGTGTACGGGAAAGTGAAAGATGCGTGAATGATGGATAGTGGTTTGACTGAACAATTAAAACTCCAATTTCTTACCGAAATAAAGTAAAAGTAAACTACCCTAATTATGTTTGAAATGAATGGTAAAACTGAGTTTGGGCAAAATTAGTTTGTTAGTTAAATCAGACTAATTGTCTCCAAATAATCAAGTTTTTAAGATAAAATATTTCTTGAATAAAAATTGGTAGAATGATTAGCTTGAAGAATTTACAGCATGGATAGGAAAAAATCCAGTAGATCTTACAAAATAATATGAATTTCATGCTAAAAGTCATAAATGTCTTGATCACTTATATGAACAACTGCGATGTCACAAAGTAATTAATCTACAAGGGGGAGACCACCACTAAGAATGCATTTTATGTTTTATTTTATAACTGATTTTCAAAAATAAATAAAACTTTGTATTTTTGACTATCAATGTTCAACTTTGTCCCCGAGTAATTTTCCAATTCAGAAGACAAGGGAACTCCTCAAACAAGTATAGAGACAGTCTTCATGGGGAACTTTTTGATGGAATCAACCTGTATTTGTGTTACATGGAGCGGAAAATCTCTCAAAGTTAGCCTGGCAGCCACTTTATGTCAGCACTATGGTCGATTCAAGGTGGAAACAGAATTCATATTGACTAATCATCACGGGGATTTGAACATGGCCCACCTCATTGGGAGGCAAGCCCTCTATCCTGTAAGTTATTGTAACCCGGAAAAAGATTTAAAAATATTAAAAGTAATTAATTGGACAAAAAAAATTATTCGACAGACTCCATTTAAAGAAAGAAACTTGTTGGGATGACCAAGGCTTGCTTTGGGTTGTACAGCCAAGAAGAAAATTACCAAAAACTGTAGTAACAAGCACTAGTTTTCTGACGAAATGAAATAATAAGAGTTTATGTAGGATAAGTACAACAACAAAAAAAAACTTACAGCTGTTCTTGTTGGATAAACACAGTCAAACATATCACAGCCCAATGCAGAACATACAACTAAATCAACAGCAAATCTGGAAAACATTAACAATAAAATAAATTCATCTGCTACATTAAACAGTACTGACATTCAGTTTAAATATATTTTACACTTTGCATAGAAAAAAAAAAAGAAATTAGTATTCACAAGAATAAAAAAATTCTTCAACATATATATATATATATATATACAGGGTGGTCCTAAAATATATGTCAAAAATGTAAAGCTAGGTAGAAGGGACATAAATAAGCATATTTCGATAGGAATGTGTGTGCAGTAATTGCACATTAAAGCACTAGCTTGTAAAACAGTATGAATCAAAGGATACTTAAAAGACAAAAGAAAACAAAAATACTACCGACTCAAGGCGGCATTACCGCACTCACAATCCTATATGAAATATGCTGTCCCCTCTACCTACCTTTGCATTTTTGGCATATATTTTAGGACCACCCATTATATATGTTTATTTCATCAAAGAAAATTATAAAAATAATTATACGCTCTTATAATAATATTTTCTGAAATTATTCATTTATCATAGAAAATCAATAAATTGACAAGAGCTTATACACTGAAAAGCAATTCAATTGAAAAGCAAAGAGAAGAGAGGGAAAAAAAACAATCAACATTGAAAACAGAAACAAACTGAAACAATAAAAATAATATTTATTTAAACTGTAACTTAATAAACTAAACAAAGTTATTATATAACAGGTATTTAACAGCTGACCCAATTTTGAGTTTATGACTATCAAAGTTCAACTCCATAGCCTTGTAATTTTGAACCCAATCTAGAAGACAAGGGAACTCCTAGATCAAGTGATGGGATAAACTAACCATTGTGGAATACCTTTTAATGGAACTGATCTACATTTGTCTTATAAGGTGACGAAAACCACCTATGGTCAAACCATCTACCATTGATGATATTTTAAGTCAGAACTGCAGTCAGTGTAAGCCGGGAGCAGAATTAATATCAACCAGCTATTTGAACATGGGTCACCTTATTGAGAAGCAAAAACTTTATTCCTTAAGCCATCACGGCTCTAAACACTTATTAAAAAATATGTTATTCTGCCAACCTTGACATAGTGGTTTGAGGTCTATAAATAGGTCATCAGTTAATCCCAAGTTGATAACTACCAACATTTAGAAATTGAGCTAATTCCTTCATAGTTATCCAAGACCAGATTATGTAGATAATTTTTGAACAAAAAGTANCATAATTAAAAAAATATATAGTCTTTTAATTTATGATCTTTGAATAAAAAAATTGCAAGATCCGGAACTCAACATTCCACCGAAGTTCCGAGTAGGACCGAACCTACAACAACGTACCTTTGAGGCGAACGCTCTAACCACTACACCACGACTCTTGTACCTGACAAAGAAGATTTAAATTTAAATCATGTGTTTTTACGTTATTATGTTCGTTACATGACAAGTTGTAACAAATTTTTACTTTATTCAGTATTTTGGAAATTCTTTAATTTCATCTTAGTTTAGTTTCATAAGAATTAAAACTCATAGTTTCCTTGTCAGTTATTGACAATGAGCAGACTCAATATTATCAACAAACAAATATTTATCTCCAGTTTAAATAAACAAAAATAATTATAAGTATTTAAAAATAGAATACAAATTGTAATAAAAATCTACACTGTTCAGTTTATTCAAATTTAAGAGAGACGTAAAATAATATCCTTCTTGGGCACTCACATTCTTTTTTAGAAACATTTTTACCATTGAATTTACGTTTATAATCCCAAAAAATTAACGTAAACATAACTATGCAACAAAGCGTAACTTTTTCGTTAATAAAACGTTTTTAAAAATCGGTAAAAAAATGGGTAAAATGTACACGTTAATATAACGTATTTTTAGTACTCATTTTTAACGAAATATTTAAAGGGAAAATTGATAGCGTTAAAATACCGTCATTTTAACGCATACGTTTTAACGAATGAAGAAATGGTGAAAATCATCACGTGAAATTGACGTAATTTTAACGTTAAGTCCAAAACCTTATACCGAACGAACGTATTTTTTACGTTTATTTGCCCCTTCATGCTGCATGGGTAAGTACAAGTAATCTAATATTAATTGGTTATAAACAGACTAAACCCTACTTAGGTTAGTTAAAATAAATTGAATATGGAACAGGATAATGTTTTAAATTTTTTTCGCTATAAAACATAAATGATTCTTTTATAAAACACTCAGACTGAATTTCAATAGTGTAGTAATATAGCTAAAAACATATATAAACTAATACAAGTAAATATATTGCACTCCAGCAAGAACAGTGTCATAACTCCAAAATGCAGCATTTGAGAAAAATCAACTTGAAGAATACTATAAAACTTATTCTGAAATAGCACAATCTTTTTATAAATTTCAGTTAAGTATTTAATGGTGGTAAATTCCTTTAAACTCAATAGTGTGGCGGCACTCTTGATGGGGCACTTCATATATATTTTTTATTGACATAACCTCAAAATTGCTATTTTTTGAATTGTGACACTTTTCTTCCAGGGGTGCAATGTTTTAAAAAAAATGTTTTTTTTCCGCAATTTTAACACAGTGATTATGAGAACTGAATAGGATGATATTTTAATAAATTAAAAATCTGTATTAGAAAGCATCGAAAGTATCAGGAAGGTTATCATATTTTCATTAATCCATAGCCAACAACAAGATGCTCAGAAACTTGGAAATTTAAGTGTTAATGAATTTTAACTAAATATGTTTTTTGCCAATAACAGGGATGTGATTGACAAAAACACAAAAAAGAGGAAGTTTATAACTGAAGCATTAAACGTGCAAAAGAAAAAATGATTTGAATTCAATAGCCAATCAGATGATGATTACATTATTATCTATTCAAATAAATATAAATAAATGGTAATTATGTTCTTAAATAAAATCTTGATTAAAAAAATTCCTTTTTTAATAATTTAGATAACTTTGAGTAATTATGCATAAGCATGATTTTATGTATCACATCATTTCAAAAAACATTTCTTTAATTTAATGGTCAAAGGACCTTTATGGACTTTCTCATCAGTTCTTTGTTTTTTCGATTGTCTTTTATTAACATGACTGATCTGTAGACTGCGTTTTGCAGACTTTTGATCATCAGTGTTGATAGGACAAGAGAGTTCATTTCTCACACAATTTTTAGAGGCCTTAGATTAAGAATCGCGATGTTGGATTTCAAAATCGCGTGAATNGTTTTGCAGACTTTTGATCATCAGTGTTGATAGGACAAGAGAGTTCATTTCTCGAACAAATTTTTGGAGGCCTTAGATTAAGAATCGCGATGTTGGATTTCAAAATCGCGTGAATAAGAATCGCGATGCTTGATTTTAAAATCGCGTGAAAAAGAATCGCGATGCCGGATTTTAAAATCGCGTGAATAAGGCGATATCAGATTTTAAAATCACGATGTTAGATTTTAAGATTGCGTGAATAAGAATCGCGATGTTCGATTTTAAAATAGGGTGAATAAGAATCGCGATGTTGGATTTTAAGAGTGCGTGAATAAGAATCGCGATGTTCGATTTTAAAATAGGGTGAATAAGAATCGCGATGTTGGATTTTAAGAGTGCGTGAATAAGAATCGCGATGTTCGATTTTAAAATAGGGTGAATAAGAATCGCGATGTTGGATTTTAAGAGTGCGTGAATAAGAATCGCGATGTTCGATTTTAAAATAGGGTGAATAAGAATCGCGATGTTGGATTTTAAGAGTGCGTGAATAAGAATCGCGAT